AAAAGCCCCAAAAGCCCCCGGGCCCCCCCCCCCCCCCTCAATACCTGGAAGGAGGCGTACTGCCGGATGCAGAAGGGGTGGGTCAGGTTGCGCGTGATGGTCTGCTCGCAGAAAACGTGCTCGGGGCACTGCACCACGCCAGACTTGCGCATGCGCTTGAGGGCAAAGGTGCGGCCCTTGGCCTCGTCACGCGCGACGCAGACGCGGGAGAAGGCCCCCGTCCCCAGCACCATGCCCTCCGTCACCACCAGCTGCCGGCGCGGCGTGCCTGAGGCATGTGTTGCGAGAGGGGGGGTCGGCTGGAGCTGGGACGGCGGCGCGGGCGATCGACCGCGCCCAGGCCGGCATGGTGCGGTGCCGAGGGCGTGGGCGCCAGGGCCGCAGGCGGGGAGCGACACGCCTCCCCCACTCCCCCACCCCGCTCACCGCCGGACTCGGCGACCGAGGTGCCCCCCAGCTCCTCCACCTCGTCGGCGTGGCCGCGCGTGCGCACCACGTCCCACTCCCCGCTGCCGTGCTGCTTGCGCCGCACCACCACCTCCGCGGGGATGCGGGTGGGGCCGCCGCGCGCCTGAGGGTGCATGATGGGTGAGACGTGGGTGGGTCCGAATGCATCATCCCCACGCCTCTGAGCCCTCGTTGTGACTCCCCTGTGCACCGGCAAGCAGTCATCCCTCCCCCCCCACCCCCCACCCTCGCACCCTCCCCCCCCACACAAACCCATGCCCAAACTCCCAAAACACCCCCCCACCCACCACACGCACCTGCAGCTTGAGCAGGCGCTGGTTGACCACCTGCGGGCTCTTCTCGCGCTTGAGCAGCGCCTCCAGCGGCCCCAGCACCGCGGTGAAGGTCTCCCTGCCCAGCACCAGGCAGACGAGGCGGGTGACCGACTCCACGGTGGCGGCGCGCGGCACGTTGCCCAGCAGCGCCTGCTCGCCGAAGAAGTCGGAGCGGAAGAGCTGGTTGACGCGGCGGCGCGAGGCCGCGCCGCCCGCCCCATCGCCGCCCCCGCCCCGCTCCTCCTGGTACACCACCGCCTCGCCGTCCTTGATGATGAAAAAGGCATCGCCCGCGTCGCCCTGGCGCACCACGGTGGTCCCCGGGGGGAACACCGCCTCCTCCGCGGCGTCCACCAGCACCAGCTTCTCCTCCTTGGTCAGCGCCGATAGGATGGGCACGGAGTTGAGGAAGAGCTCCACCTGCTGCGTGGCCGTCTCCTGGCCCACGCGGGCGTGGGCGCGGAACACATCGCGCTCCAGCACCCAGACCACCGAGTCCTGGGTGGCCGCCACCGTGGCGCCGCGCGGCGAGTTGTACATCAGGCTCACCTCGCCAAAGGTGTCGCCGCGGCGCTTCATGTTCACGCGCAGGTTGGCGCCGCGCCGGCGCTGCAGCACCTCGAACTCGCCGGCCGAGACCACGTACAGCTCGGAGGCGGCCAGGCCTGAGCATGAAAAAGGAGGGAGGAGGGGGGGGGGGGTGGGGGGTGGAGGCTGTGGTGAGCGCCTGAGAGGCTGGTGGGGCCTAGGCCCTTGCTGGGTGCCAGGGGTCCTACCCAGCCAGCCAGCAGGATGCAAGACACACCCAAAGGCACGGCGCCACACCTGTGTCCCCCTCCCGGATGAGGATCTCGCCCGCCCCGATGCGGCGCTCGTACATGTCCCCCACGATCTGGTTCTGCATGTCGTCGTCCAGGTGGTTGAACAGCAGCATCTTGCCCAGGCATTCCTGGGGAGGGGCAGGGGGTGGAGGGGGTTCGACACACTCTTTGGGGCCCTGCTTGCACCGTTGCTCATTCCTTTCGAAAGGGTCTTTGCGGGGCATTGCTCAGGAGCCCAATGCCTGGGTCATTGGGGGCTGGCGCCAGGATGCGCGTGGCCACCGTCCTGAGCGCATCCCATGCACCCAGAGCAGAACGCACAGGATGACGCCATCAGGCTGTCATCCGACCAGCCCAAAACCCGTGCGACACCCGAGGCCCGCGGCTCCACCGCGCACCCGAATGAAGGGCCAATCCTCCTTCTTGGCCAGTTCCGAGGCTGGCCGGGCGCTCGGCACCTTGCGCCGGGCCTCAGTCACGGCCTGCTGCCGCCCAACGTCCTGCCCCGTCTCGAGGCCATCGGAGGAGAAGGCGTTCCCCATGTCGTCCTCCTCCCAGCTGTAGTTCGATCCGTCGTCAGACCCTGACTCGCCCAGTCCCTGCAGAGCCGCCTCGCTCGGGTCGACGGGCGCTGGGTGCTCTGAGTACGCCAGGGCGAGCCTCTGTAGCGCGGGCTAAGGCGATCACACTCAGGGGGGCGAGGTGTGCTGGGACAGATGAGCGTCCCGAGGCACTATAACCCTGATTCTCCAGGGATAGCCCCTCCTATGCTACTGGAAAGAACGGGGGCTTGGGGTTACGCGCAGAACATCCGGGAGTAGATCCGCCCGGCTCGGATGTTGGTGCTGCGGGTGCTGGGGCTTGCTGGAGAACACCCGGCCAACACGTCCACGGTCCGGGATCCCGCACACCTTCAAGTCAATCGAAAGTGGAACAATCAAGCACTATCCTGGTGAGTGTTTGAAAGTGCCCTCCAAGGAGTCGAGAGTCCACAGCGCTGCTCACGATGAAGGTGGACCCCGACAAGTTCCTCACCGAGCTGAACAGGATGTTTGAGCGGCATGAGAAATCAGGGAGTGTCTACGTCACCCTCAAGCGATGTAGGTACAGAACGCAAGGCTCTTGTCCGCTGGTGGCGCCCTGCGCTCTGCACACTGACATCATCCCCGCCCCCCTTTTGTGCAGCCAATGAGAAGCCCAAAACAAAGGCCGACTGGAGCCAGGTACCTTTTAGATGTCTGGTTAGGGCCACAGATGGCAAGAGGAAGATAAGCACGCTCCTGTCGGAGAAGGAGCTGGCACGATTTCGAGACTCATACAGCACCATTCTCAGGGTAGGCTGGTGTTTTATCTGGGTATGCAGAAGCATGCAGGGCCTGATGCTCGTCATTCGAACTATGATACCAGACGCGATCTTCCTTACGAATCTCCAAACAGGCACACACACATGCTCTGAAGCGAAGAGAGCGGACTCGGGGACCAAAGGCATGATGTTTGTTTTCACTCCTTTGATCGATGCTTAATCCACTGGCTTGACTGCAAGGCCAAGCACCTGCTTGATACAGAACAAAGCTGGGCTGCTTTTGTTGTGGAGGTCCACTGGCATGCGGACCTCGTTGTCCTCTCCAGGCCCTCGGTCCAGATCTCAATCCTTGGATCTCAGTTCGAGCTCCCTCATGCTTCAATCTGGCTCCCCCTGGATCCTGTAGATGTGCCTTGTTCCCCAGGGATAGAGTCGAAGAACTTGGCTCACCTGTGCATCGTTCTGCCCGACTATGCTGTTAAGCCCGACACACTACCATGAAGCGGGGGGGCATCACTACGCCCCCCTGGCGAGACTGCTTTCCATATCACTTGGGAACTATCTCGGAGAAGGGATGTTGAGTTATCAGTGCTACAAATAGCCTTCATCTTTCCCTCAAAAACGGTGTATGACACTTGGTTCAGAATCCTTCCCAGCTCGTCGAGCTGTGCCCATCGAGTGCGCGTGCGCGCAGAGTGCATTTCAATCGCGAATGCATCCTGTGTCAGCGAACACACGCATACCATCCTTTGCCCGCTGGCTACCACAGACCCAAGCCATCATTCAGCTGCTGCCATGCCGAATCGCTCAAAGTCGGCGCCGTTCAGTACACACGCCCGAGGGGTGCCTCTGTTCGACAAAAACAGGTTTGTGGACCTGCCCCGACACCTGGCCAGGGTGATCTTGGACTTCCGGGACCTCTCCTCCTCCATCTTCTGGTTCATCTCCTGCCAAACCTGGTACACGCTGCACTGCACCCTGGTCACCATCTTCAGCAGTGAGTGGGAGGGGACTTTGTCCATTGAGGAGAGAAAGGGTGTACACTGGGGTTTGATGTCAGGCCCGCAAGCAGGTATTTCCTGGCAGGTTGCCATCGTGCAGAACTCTGCGCTTCACATTCTGAATACCTACTCCTCAGCCCCATCCCAAACCCCTCCATCGCAGCTGCATTCTTTGCGTTCTTCCAGCCTAGTACACCCCTCTTTGCCTACCTGGACTGGACACTCATCTGCTTTGTGATCGTGCTGCCCCTGGTGGGATTCACCTTCTTTGCCTATGCGCGCAAGGAACGCTGCCTGGATGAGCTCTCCAAAGGTGCGCTGTGCTGGGGTGAGGGTCTGTCAGGGTTTGAAACTGATTTGCTGCAGCGGTGGTTGCCAGAGCATTGAACCTGATGACTTCCTCGAGGATTGCACATAATATCTTTGCTGCAGCACTGCTGAGGCAGGACCTCTGAACATCTCCTAACCCTTCCCCACCAACTCTCCACGCAGTGAAGCTGCTGCTCATAGGAATATTCACGACGCATGAGGCCGAGAATGCCGTCAGCGACACCGCAGACGGAGTGCGGGAGGCCATCTTCACCCTCATGGAGGCCATGCAGCGATATTTCCTGCCCGCCCGCTTCTACAGCCGGTATTACCCATACATGGGCTTCCGGAACGCCATGGTGGGTATGGGGCTTGTCTTGTATATGGGAAGATGAGGGTGCTGGGCTGCGAGGGTCTCCACTGGGGCGGGGCCATCCATGGTTTGGGGGGTTGCCGCTGGCCTGCTGCGCTCATTCAGCCTCGGCAGCTTTGTGGCTCCCTGGGATGAATCCCCCGATGACATGCTACACAAACACTGAGCGAGCAGTAGACCTCTAGCGAGCGCCTGCCTGGCCGCGAACCTCTGTCCACACCCACTATGCGCCTTGATTCTCCAAATTGGCTGGCTACACTGCCCCCAATCCAACCCCTCATCCCTTTGCCCACCGCAGATCCAGATCGCAATGGACCGTGCCCAGTACGTACGAGAGAGCCGGGGCTGCCTGCGCCAGCTGGAGGCGGCGACGAGGGTGCTGGGCACCAGTGGTGCCCAGCACCCGGTTCTGGTGGCGCAGCAGCACGAGCGCGTGGCCGCGCTGGCCTACTCCCTCGAGCGCCTGGCCAACGTCAAGGAGTTCCGGACGCCCCAGGGCGCACGCAGCGTGGCCCGGCTCTACGTGGGCCTCATCATCCCCATCTTTTTCGGGCCCTACTGGGGCTGGGTGTCCAATCAGACCAATTTTGGCTTTGCCTTTTTCTTCAGCATTGTGGTGAGGGTGCAGGCAGGGGGGTGAAGGGAGTTGGGACAGGAGAGGGGGAGGGCATGTGCTGGCACGCTTGGCAGAGTGTGGCCTGCTTGACGACGAGCTCCTTCACGTCAGCTGAGGCTAGGCAGGATGGTGCTGGATGGCACTTTGCGAGTCAGCTCCGCACCACCCCACCCACCCTTCTCCATCTCGCCAGCATTGCTGCCATGTCATTCTTCATGTATAGGAACGTATTCTCAATGTATGGACTGTCACAGGCCCTGTCGTCCCCACCCTCCTCTCCACCCACCCACCCCTCCCAGTTGGAGATGGCGCTTGTATCAGTCTTGAACCTGAGTCTGGCCCTGGAAGACCCGTTCGACAACCTGGGGATGGACGGCGTCTTCATAGATGAAGCCTTGTTCGAGGTGCAGCAGGTGCTCAACGGCGAGGATGGGGCGGCGAGCGAGGCCGTGACCGTCGCAGCAGCTGCCAGCCAAGTGCCAGGTGCTTCGCACAAAGACCCTGAGACGGGGGACTTTGGGAATGCTCAGGGCGAGGAGGGCATGCTGTAAATGGTGTCCCCAGGGAGCAGCCGCGGGGGAATGTAGAGAGAACTGATGGCGGGACCAGCGCAGCGAAGGACGACTTGTACGAAAGAACTGACAGAGGTGCCCGTCGGAGAGTATACTGCTACTTCATCATCGATATATCCCCACCTCCTTTGTGTTTTGTGTACACCCCTGTCTGTAGCCATGTCTCGGGAGGGAAGGAGGGACAGGGACGATGGAGGCGGCAAGACCAAAATCTCCCTCCTGGTCCGCAACCTGCCCCTGGATGCCAGGTTGGTTTAAGCAAACCGATGATCGATACGAATCATGCATGATGTTCCCGTGCGGTGTGGAGGGCCTCCGGTCTCCCTCCCCATGACCCCATGCTCTTGCCCCCCCCCCAGGCCCGACGAAATTCGTGTGAAGTTCGAGAAATACGGACGCGTGCGCGATGTCTACCTCCCACGTGAGTCTCTAGCATGCCTTGGTCGTAATGTCGCCCCAGTGGCGCTGCTGCGGCGTGGAGCGACAGTCCGTGTTGTCCACGAGCTCACTGTGCCCCCTCCCCATCCACCTTGCAGGCGACTATTGTGAGTAGGGAACAGAGGACTCATGCCCGTGTCCAAGCACCCGCCGTTGCCTCACTGTCCTTACCGTGACGACACCCTGCACTTGCTCAGCAGTGACCAAGTCCATGTTCAGTCCAAGAGATCACGAGCTGACTTGAAGTGCCCCTCCATGAGCCTGTCCAAGTCGAGACGATGCTGGGTGCATGCCCCGTCCAACCCCAAGCACGAGCCCCTGGAGCAGACCCTCCCAGCCCCTGCTTGGCGCACGCCTGATGGAAGTTCCCCTCCCTGCAAAGCACAGACTCTGGTCGCCCCAAAGGCTTTGGGTTCGTGGAGTTCCTGGACGTGAGGGAGGCGGACGACGCCATCTACCACCTGGACCGCACTGACTTCATGGGCCGCGAGATCACCGTCATCCACAGCCGGGAGTCGCGCAAGACGCCCAACGACATGCTTGCGCGCGAGAGTGAGTCCTGGACCGTGGCGGGGCCTGGTGTGGGTGACTGCGTGGAGACGGCTGTCGGGACGCGGAGGAGGTGGGCGGGCGGGTCCCACTCCCCGCACCTCTAGCTCCCTCTTCATCCTGCTGCGATTGACCTCTCTACACCCCACGCCGTTCACCCACGCCACCCCACCCGTCCCAGGGGATGCCCCTCCTCGTGGCGGTAGCGACTATGGCCGCCGGGGCGGCCGCTCCCGGAGCCGCAGCCCCTCCCGCGACAGGAGGCGGCGCCGATCCCCAAGCCGCTCCCGCTCCGGCGACCGGCGCCACGGCCGCTCCCGCTCCCGGTCTGCTGGCAGGGATGGGCGCAGGCGGTCCAGCCGCCGCAGCCCCAGCCGAAGCCCGGTGAGGACGCGGTCGCCGCCGAGGCCTCGATCCCGCTCACCCGCTCACCGGTCGAGCCGGAGATCCCTGTCCAGGTGAAGCAGGGGAGTGAACCGTGAGCGCGCTCCCTCCCCGCCCCTCCCATGAACTGATGCTGGGTGCTGGTGCCACTCCTTGGCTGCGGTTGGCCCTCACAGCACCACAATGCACCTTCCTGACACAGGGGAAGGAGCCCGAGGTCACGCTCACCCCCGCCCCGCATGGCATCCCGCTCGCCCAAGGCCTCCCCACCAGCCCGGTCAGCATCCCGGTCGCCGGCACCTGGGTCGCCCCGGGCCACAAGGTCGGCCTCCCCCGCCCGCTCGGCATCACCCTCGCCGAAGCCCATGTCTGACGATGCCTGAGCTGACAAGAATGCTTGCAAGAAACTGTAAAACGGCTGTGGGACGTGGATAGGACATTTTGTTGTGCAGGTACTGGTGGGGTCCAAGGAGGGGGGGAAATGTAGTATCCTGAGCCTGGGGCGAAACCGGCATGATGCCGGAAAGTAAACACACACCCCGGTGCCATGGCTTGACTATTAATACATGCATTGCAATTCCAATACACAGAGACAAGATTTGCTGGGATGGAAAAGGCGGTTCGCTTGATGCAACCTATCACCCGAAGCCCGGCGGTACACCTCTGCTTCCGAGCCGCCCGCCCCGCCATGGGCCGAGCCTTGGCATCTTTGGGCACCAGACGTACCTTCAAGGTGTTTTCAATGGCTCAGGAGGATGAAGGCGCCTGGATGGTCGTGGGCCTGGGCAACCCGGGCCAAAAATATCATGGCACACGACACAATGTGGGTTCGGTGGCTGACTCTTCAGAGAAAATGCACTGTATTTTGAGGAGCAGACTCGTTCAGAAGATGTTGCCGTCCATTCATACCAATTCGCTTTGATGTGGACTGGGATGTGAGCAGCATCTGCAGTGCCTCTGTGACCAGGACTTGCACCGCGATTCAGCTTGTTGGGACTCAAGGACCCCCATCACCTTGCACACCTGTCCACGCAGATCGGGTTTGCGCTGGTAGACAGCCTGGCCATGTCCGAGGGCATCTCCATGGACAAGCAGCAGGAGAAGGCGGCTGTGGGCCGGGGCACCCTGGCCGGCCGCAGCGTCATGCTCGTGAAGCCCCAGACCTTCATGAACCGCAGCGGACAGAGCGTGGGCGCCCTCGCGAGGTACTACAAGGTGCCGCTGGAGCGCGTCCTGGTCGTCGCCGACGACCTGGACACGCCGCTGGGCGCGCTGCGCCTGAGAGCCAAGGGCAGCAACGCGGGGCACAACGGCATGCGCAGCGTGCAGAGCGCGATGGGGGGGTCCACCGCCTTCCCGCGCCTGCGCCTGGGCATAGGCCGCCCCGCCGGCGGCCGCGATGTCGCCGACTTTGTGCTGCAGGTAGGCACGGCAGGAGCGGCGGGGGGGGCGGGGCCTGGGGGTTGGACCCGCATTCCTGTGCGGATGTTGTTGACACTGTGGTGGGGCCGTTGTTTTTCAACCACCCCGGCCCGGTACCAGCCTCCGTGCTCCCATAGACGCTGAAGAGGGAATCGAGCCTCGACCTGCGTACCTCTTCCCCACCCACCCCTCCTCTGCAGCCCTTCTCGCGGCAAGAAAGGGAGGTGGCCGAGGTGGGCCTGGCAGAGGCGGTGGACGTGGTACGGGCGGTGCTGACCCTGGGCTTACAAAAGGCCATCTCAGGGGTCCGGGTCGACGCCCAGGGGAAGCAGTATGCCGTGCAGGCCCCGCCCAAAGCGACCGGCACCAAGAGGAAGGCAGGCACGGGCGAGGCGGAGGCAGCATCGAGCACGCCGCCGGAAGCTGTCGCGCAAGTCTGACCGCAGTCCTCCCTGTCACGCCTGGCCTCAGTTTTCTCTTCAGCAATACATCGTGCATATCCCGGCTTGTAAAACATGTGCAGGGCAAAGATGACAATCAGTCAAGCGGTTTGGGGGGAATGGTGTGCAGTGGGGATGGCAGGGGCCAGGCTTGGCACTCCTGGCAGGAAGGCCGGCTCTGGCCCCACTCCCACCCCGAGGCGTCGTGTGTCAGGGCTCAGCGTCCTCGCCCCACCCCTCGTCTCGATCCTGCTCCAGCACTCCCGCGATGCGCTGTTTCAGGTTGATCTTCAGCTCCCGCGGCCTGACCCAGGGCCCTGGCAGGAGGGCCGCCAGCCCGCTAGGCTCCTCCGGCTCTGCAAATAGAAAGGAGGAGGGCAGGGGTGGCGGCCAGGGAGGAGGATGCGGAGCAATGGTGCAAAGATGGGTGTGGCTGCCCTGCGCTCCCCGCTTCCTGTAGCAAAGACACCCTCCCAGTCCCTCCCCACCTTCCCAGGGCTGCAGCTCGTCCACCTCCCAGACCACGACCTTGCGGGGCGGGGCTGCTTGGGCACGCTGCTGCTGCCGCCACCGCGCCGCCTGGGCATGGGAAATAGGGTGGGGGTGCAGCAGTGGTGGGCCTCGATTTGTCTGGCGCTGGCGATTGGAGAAGGCATCCATGGCGCGCAGTGTACATCAGCGGAGACGCAACAAGCTGCGCGGGTCACTCCGCCCCGCAAAACACCATGGACAAGCGCCATCGACCACCATCCTATCCACCATCCCTGGCTCACCGCGGGGGGGAGGTCGAGGGAGGCCGCCATGAGGGCATCCGACAGGTCATCGCCCACAGTGATGCGCTGCGCGGGCTGCGTGTCTGCCAGCGCAGGGGACGGCGGCGCGGGGGGCTGCGCCGGCACGGCCGGTCCGTCGTTCCCTCGTGCCACCTGGACTCGGGGCGCAGGTCGGTCCGCCGTCGGAGCGGCCCTCGCGGGCGCGGCGGGCCGCTGCCGCGGGGCCGGAGTGGGCCGCTCGGCACGGTGCGCGCTCGGCGCCGCCCTCCCGCTGCCAAACACCCCTGCGGCCAGGGGAGGCTCCAGCCTGGCCGCGGCTGCCCGGCGCTCTGCAGACGCCGGCTGTGAGGTTGATTTGGCGGTGGACGGGGCTGCGCTTTCTTCCTGCGCCTCACCCCCAGCCTCCTGCTTGCCGCCCCGACGTGCCTGCGGGGTGCCCCCCGCCAGCGCCGACAGCATGTTCCAGCTCCCGGCGTCCAGCCGCTTGGCCCCCGCCGCCGCGGCGCGGGCGCCGGCGGGGGAGGGCGGGGCCGCGCCTCGCCGGTCGGGGGTCAGCACGGGGGAGGAGGAGATGCTGGGCTGGTAGCCGTCGTCGCCAGCATCCAGGTCTTCCACCTCCCCCGCCGCCTCGGCGTCGTGCAGGGCGAGCAAGGTGGCCTCCAGCCTCACCACGCCTGGCGAGGGTTTTGTGTGGCACAGTGGCCTGGCTGGTGTCGCAGCCAGGAGCAGACTCACTCACAAGCATCGTCCTGCCTCCCCAAACCTCGAGCGCCGGGTATTGCAGGCATGCCATGCACCCCGCACCTCGAGCAGCATCGCCAGGTGAGTGGGCAGCGGCCTCGACCTCCACACACAGGACCAGGTCGCGGCAGCCGGGACCCGCCAGCTGCGACAGGGCGCCCGCCGCCGCCTGCGCGGCCATGCGCTCCGCTGCCTGCGCAGGCGTCGAGCATCGAGGTGGTGTGCCGTGCACGGCGCCGGCATCGCGTGACATGCCGGTACCACTGCCGACCGATCCTTGCATCCAGCGGCCCTTGGGACCTCGATCAGTGCATGTCTGGCCCAGAGTTCGAGGCCAAGCCTCCTTCCCCTCAGAAGCCGGTACCTTGTGCTGCTGCAGCGCACGCTCGCTGCCGACGTCGACGCCCAGGGCCAGGGGACTAGGCAGCGTGAGGCAGCACAGCACGCCCCGCGTGTCACCCAGCACCCCGTCCAGGAAGGGGGAGTCGGCCGCGGCGCGCACTGCATCTGTGGCCAGGTGCATCAGCGCCTGCGAGTGCCATGGGATGGAGCTGGGCGAGCACCTGGAAGGGAGTTTACTCGCAGCACAGCCCTTTTGCCTGCCTCGGGGCGAGCAACCCCCGAGTCCTCTACCCGGCTGTGGCTGGCCCCACCATTCCACTCGACCCAGGCACTGCGCGCTCGGCCCAGCAATGCACTGAGAGGTCACCACCTCCTCACACCAGGAAGACGACACCCCCCCTTCACACACACCTTGGCCGGGGAGAGGCGTGAGGTCTCGCTGGGGGGCATGCAGGCCTGGCCCCGCCCCGTCAGGGCAAAGCCCGGCCGCGTCAGCAGCTGCTGCAGGGGTGGCGGGAGGAGGCGCTTGAAGTGGCGCAGCTCGCGGCCGTGCCACATCAGCGCCCCGCGCTGCGACTTCAGGATCTCCCGACTCTGGGAACGGGCGAGGCGTGGGTGGGGCGCGCTTGGCTCGGTGTGTTCGGCTGATCGGTGGTCTCCGTCAGGCGCGCCACACACTGCACAGGTGAACAAAGCCGCGCCGATCGCGTCAGCGCCCCGCACTCCTTTGCCGCGCCCAGGCCGGGGCTCGACATCGCTGTGCGCCCAGGGACCCTCCCCCCCCTCCCCCCCCACCCCCCTTCTGTCCCCACCTGCACCGCCTGCAGCACGCCGCGCACGGCGTGCTCCAGCGCCAGGTCGGCGATCTCCGTGGCCTGCGCCACGGTCACCGCGGCGCCGCCGCCCCAGGCCTGCATCAGCACCTCCTGGTCCACCAGCGCGACCAGGTGCGCCGCGGCGCGGGCCTCGGCGGCGGCGCGGCGCGCCGCCGCGCCGCGCACCCCGCCCTCGAAGCCGAAGGGCAGGGCCAGCGCGGCGACGGTGAAGTGGCCGGCCTCGCGCAGAGCGCGCAGCGTGCGCAGCAGCGCCCCGGGGGCGCAGGAGGCGGAGGCCACCACCAGCGCGACGCCGCCGTCGGCTGAGCCCACGTTGCCGCGCCCACCCGCGTCCGAGGCGGGGCGGCCCACCAGGGCGGCCAGCGCCTCCGGGGGCAGCCCGGCACCGGGGTCGCGGGGTAGGGTCAGGCGGTGCACACCGGGCGCCGCCGGGGGGGGGGCGCCGGCCTGGCCCTCGACCTCGCAGGCCCAGAGCTGGGCGGAGACGGGGAGCCGGGGCCCCCGCGCCAGGGCGTCCAGCACCGCCGCGCCACGCCCGCCCAGCCCGACGATCTTGATCTCCAAGTCCGGCCCGGGGCCGGGGGCCGCGGCGCCTGCGCCAGGCGGCGCGGCGCGGGGGGCGAGGGGGCTGCGGCTCGAGGGGCGAGGCACGGCGTCGTGCGTGGATGGTCGGCCGTGACCCCCGCCGCACAGGGAAGCCGCCGGGAAGCCAGCTCGCTGCGATGATCTCGGGTCGCTCCCACGGGCGTCCCTTGAGGACCGTGCTGGGCGGCATGGGCGCTGGCTGGTGCCAGAGGCCTTCTTATGCCCTGCACCGCGGCGACCTCGAAGCCCATCCAGGCCCAGTTGGCCACGGGTGGCGAGTCGCGGACGTGGAGGTCCGAGCGCAAGGGGCGAGCTCGCTGCGGCCATGGACGCCTGTGTCGTGAGCATGCTCCTACTCAAGGGTCTACAATGAACCCGATGGTCTAGTGGCCTGGCAGGTCCTTCAAGAAGGTGGAGGGGTCGGGGACTGCGCCGTTGAACTCGGCCTGGGAGAAGTCGAAGCCGGGATGCTGCGATCAAAGGGGAGGGAGTGATGAGGGGTGATTTGAGGGGGATATTACGGCGGGGCTTGGGGGGGCTGCTGGACCAGGAAAGAGCGCGCTGACATTGCCAGGGATCTCTCGCATGTGACGCTACACACCCGACTGGTCCCTCCAGTCACTGATGCAGGTCAGCGGCACAACATGCTCGCCTGCCACCAGCCCGCCCTCACCTCTGCCTGGAAGCGCTCCAACATCAACCGTTTCTGGTCAGTGGTCTGGACGTCGGGCGAAACCTCGTGCCCTGCGATGGCAGCCGGCCACGTGACCCCCGTCTGTGCCTTCACCAGCTGCAGCACCAAGATTCCGTCCTCTGAGGGGATGGTAGATTGGATTGGGGTGTCAATCATGTGGGTGCGATATGCCGCCCAGAGCAAGCACGAGTGAATATCACACACTGCCCCTTCCCCCTTTCCACCACGCCTGAGCCAGCAAAGCCAATAATCAGCGGCTCACCGACTGTCCACAAGGAGTCGGAGACCTTGATAGCGCCAGCCAGGTCCTTCTGTTGGACACAGGCAATGGGCTGTGATGAGTCGTCTGCATGTATGCATCATTATTCCTCGAAACAGAATCTACATCGCCGACCATCGCTCCCACATGAGGCCGCGTCACAGTATATAATCGATAAGATTTGATTCAAACGAGAAGCTCATTACCCCAGAGCGGTGGACTCACATCAAGGTAGGGCGGGGTGTTTGCTAATCCCACCGTGAGCCTGGCGGTTGTGAAAGAGACTGCCAGGTCCTTGGCACGAGCTCCGGGAGGTAGATCGATGAAGATGTTGATGTCACTGCGTGCGTGTGTCGGCGGGATGCTTGCCTTCAATCGTGAATGGCAAGCTTGGGCATTGAGGCTACCACACTAAGCTGAAGACCTGATTAGCCGGCGAACACATCAGGCCACTCATAGGTCTCATACAGGATCGCACGCGCACCTCAGTGTCTGGTTCCACTCGTATACTTTCTGGCCGTTGTGCACGTACGCGTGTGTCTCAGTCGGTGCGACCCTGTCCATTCCTCGGGCTGGGGATCCTAGGCCCAGCTCCCACCCGATCCTGGGGTCGCGCTGCACCCCGTCCAATCTTAAATGAGCTTCCGCAAACAATGCATATACGGGGTGGACTGTCAGCAGTGTAGCTAGGCGCACATGTCACAGCTCTGTTTTCAAACTCATGCTCATCTGCGCGCCCGACTGGATTGGCTCCGCTCAACTTGATCGCAGCCCTCGATCTGGGGTAGCTCGGCACCAGCGGCCAAACGGCTGGCCCCCCGACATGGAGTGAGAGGTCTATTTCGCTCACAGAAATGTATCAATCTAAGAGTGCGAGTGCCTGCTGACGCATATTTCACAAACGCCGAGTACTTGCTTGAGAAGGAGGCCGGGCTCGTCGGCAGGTGGCTGCGACGTGAGGTAGGCACCCAGCCCTCCCTTCGCCACAGCCCTGAATCCTGGCGTCGGTGTGAGAGGGAGGGCGAGGTCCATGCCGCCCTCCCTCCCCCTCCTGGGTCCGGCTTCCGGCACCAACCCCAGCCTCCTGCGCGCTTCCTCGCCGGCGTGGCGGTGCTGGCCGAAGCAGGGCACGCACGGAGGCCTGTGCCGTGCCCCCTGCGTGGCCCACCCATCCGCTGTGGGGAGGAACATGTTGGGGCCTGACCAGGCCACACGCGCTGAGGATGCCGACGGCATGCCCTGCCTCGCCCATGCCTCGCCTCCCCACCCGCCAGAGCCTTCTGCCGCCCTCACACCTGCTCAACACGACATCGCATCAACACCCAGAGACCCTGCGCCCCTGGATGCCCTGGCCGACGCAGCGGGGGAAGCTGCCCGGGCCACAGGTGCCCAGCCCCGGGCGGCAGCTGCAGCTAGACCCCGGCGGAAGGGTAGTGCCATGAGTCCCACCCAGCGCGCCGCACTTTCAGAGAGTCTGGAGGTCCTCAAGGCCGACATCGACCACCTGCGGGCCCTGGTACGCCCCGACTCCGTGCCGGGCCCCGCCGCTGAGGATCCGGGCGGGCTGGAGGACAGCCAGCCGCCGGAGGTGGGGCTGGGGCCCTCCGTGAGCCTGGGGCGGCTGGCAGACGCCGATGTCAAGAAGCAGCGGCGGCGGGACAAGCCGAGGAAGGCCGACAAGCGGCGGCTGGCGGACCGCGACCCTAACCCCTCCGCCGGGCCCGGCGTGGGGTCGACAGACGCCACGGCCCCGGGGGGCCCGGCGCTGCTGGCGCACTCGCCCCAGCCCTCCGCCGCGCTGGCCATGCCGGGGTCGCTGGCCGGCGCTGATGCGGGGGCAGGGCACGTGGGCCATCGCAGCAGGGCCTCCGTGCGGGCGGAGTGGAAGAACATCATGCGCTGGTCGCGCTTGTTCAAGTGCGCAGGCGTGCGAGGGGGGGGGGGGCCCGACGACCAGGGGCGCTGCCTGCCAGACATTCGGCACGCTCCCCTCGATCCCATCCACTCTTGCCTCGTGCCACCTCCTCATCCCAACCCCAAACTCCCCATGAACCATCGCAGGCTGCGCCGCATCCGCCGGCGCGGCACCGCCCTGCGCCTGCGCAAGGTGGTCGTCTTCGGCGGCGGCTCCTTCGGCACCGCGCTGGCCACCGCCCTGGCGCGCCAGCACCCCGACGCCGTGGTCTACATGCTCCTGCGCGACCCCTACCTGGCCTGCGAGATGAACGAGGGCCATGTCAACACGCGCTACCTCCCCGCCTGGGTGCTGCCGCCAAACATCGTGGCCACAACCTCCGCGCGGGAGGCCATCGAGGGTTCGCAATATGCCATCCACGCCGTCCCCGTGCAGCAGACGCGCTCCTTCCTGCAGTCCATCAAGGTGGGGCGGAGCTGGTGGGATGGAAGCCGGGGCGCCCGGGGGGGGGGCCCGCACCACGGCCGCGCTCTGAGCTGGGTCTGCGCTGTCGGCGGCTGCCCTAGGGAAGTTGGTTGCATGGGCAGTGGGGATCTGCACCGCCAGTTGTGGACCCGCCCATGTTCAACCTCTGCAACACTCGACAGCACCCCCTCACCCACACGCACCGTGCAGACGCTCCTGCCCCCCACCCTGCCGCTGGTGTCGGTGAGCAAGGGGCTGGAGGTGTCCAGCGGGCACGTGCTGTCGGATGTCATCCCGTCGGCCCTGGGCCGCAAGCAGCCCACCGTCTACCTGTCGGGGCCCAGCTTCGCGGCGGAGCTCATGGACTCCAAGCCCACGGGCGTGGTGGCTGCCTCCAAGGTGGGCGGGCGGGTGGTGGTGTGGTCAAGGCGCAAGGAGGGTTGCTGGGGGGGCTCGGCTCCGTGGCGGCCTCGAGGTTGGCTTTGGGCAGGTGCCCACACACGCTCCGGCCACGGCGTGTGCGCCTCCAGCAGCGAGCGCGCTGCATTGCTGTCGACCCGTCTTATCCCGGGTCTCGACCAGACCAGCAATGTCCGGCGACGGCAATTGCAGGCCTCACACATCTCCGCACCCCTCACCCCCCCCCCCCTTCCCCTTTTCCCCAGGACAAGGCCCTGGCTGAGGCGGTGCAGCACGTCTTTGCCTCGCCCACCTTCCGCGTCAACACCTCCACCGACGTCGTCGGCGTGGAGGTGTGCGGCGCCCTGAAGAACGTGCTGGCCATCGCCGCCGGGATCGTGGAGGGGCTGGACCTGGGGCACAATGCCATGGCCGCCCTCGTGGCTCAGGTGCTTTGAGGAGGGGTGGGGGGGAGGGGGAAGGGGGTTCTCGGGGACGCAGGACGGCGTCGACGAGTGCGGGCTCTGCGGCGGCCATGCACATGCTGGGCGCCCACGCCGCCTGCGTAGCAGGCCCCGCACGCCGACGCCACCCCACGACTCCACCCACGTCACCCCACTGCCTCACGCACCGCCCCCGCCGCCCACCCTACACAAAGGGCTGCGCCGAGATCCGGTGGCTGGCGGAGAAGATGGGCGCGCGCGGCGCGACGCTGTCCGGCCCGGCCGGCCTGGGCGACATCATCCTCACCTGCTACGGCTCCTTGTCCCGTAACCGCTCGGTGGGCGTGCGGCTGGGGCGGGGCGAGCCCCTGGCTGACATCCTGGGGTCCAGCCACCAGGTGGCGGAGGGCGTGGCCACCGCCGGGGTGGTGGTGGGCCTGGCCAGGAAGTACCGCGTCCAGCTGCCGGTGCTCACCGCCGTGGCCCAGATCCTGGACGGCCACATCAGCGCGCGGGAGGCGGTGTTCGAACTCATGAACCTGCCCCAGGTCGACGAGTAGCGACGAGGGGGCCTGGGGCGACCCCGGGCGCCGACCACCGCGGGGCGGCGCTGGCGGGCGCAGAGTCCGCTCGGCGCCCCGCCGGTCCCCCCGCGGATGGGGGGTGCGCAGTTCACCACCGACCCCCGCCCTCCGCCCCCGGAGCTCGGCGCTGGAGGCTTGCAGGCCCCGAGAACAACCCACCCAGCCCCAACCTCCGACGGCGTCCTGTGCATGACGCCATTGTTTTCGACCCCCTGTGCAGTAGCTCTGTAGCGAATTGACAGCGTTCTTTGTCACGTGCATTCCCCCGCTTCCTCTGTTTGACTTCTCGCCCTGCGCGCGATACCCCCTAAAATCCTGTGGACGCTTATTTTCGACGCTTGCAGCCGAGGGATGAAGGGGGATCTCAGAGGGAAAGCAAGGCAAACAGGGGGACATGCGTGGGCAGTCTGACAACAAGAAAACTGAGTGCTGCCGATCAGGCCCCTCACTCCTTCATTGACTCGGCCAGCTCGCGCAGGGCCTCCTGCTGCTCCATACGGAGCACGGCCTGAATGCTGTCCTCCAGCCCCCCCTCCAGGATCTTGTTCAGGTCGTAGTTGTTCTTGGTCCGGTGGTCTGGCGAGGATGTGGACAGGGGAGGCTTCGGATTGAAGGAGGAAGGATTGAGATTTGCACATGGTGGTGGATAGAGCAAAGGGTTTCTCGAGTGTTCACATATTCAAGGGATTGATCTGCATCAAGCTGACAGACTCGTACAGGCACCACCACCACCACAAAAATGCACCTGACATCCGACTGTCTTTAAAGTTGTACGTCTTGATCTTCTCCGATCGGCTGCCGGTCCCAATCTGCATGCACAGACGGCCGATTGTCGGCATGGAGGTTTGTTGCCTGGAACTTACTTTGTTTGATTGAGGCGATGCATCGTGCCACGCCGGGCATCTGGGGCCAGCGGGGTGGATGCACGGCGCAGCCCCTGTCCTGTACCCATCATCCCATTATCCGAATGCCCCTGAATCTACACAAACAAGCCCGCATCCACCTGGCTCCTGCGTCGCGCGGCCACCTCCCCCCGCTGCTTCTCCAGCTCCAGCTCGAAGAGCTTGGCGCGCAGCAGCTGCATGGCCCGCTCCCGGTTGCGCAGCTGGGTGCGGTCCTCCTGGCAGAAGATGCGGATGCCCGTGGGTTTGTGCATGAGGTCGATGGCGGTCTCCACCTTGTTCACATTCTGGCCGCCCGCGCCCGAGGCACGAGCAGTGGAGATGTCGATGTCCTACGGACGTGGGTGAGGGGTGGGGGAAGATGGAGGGTTTGATGTGGCGTGCAGGAGGGGCCGAGGCCGCGCCGAATCCCCTGACACCCCCGAGAAGGGATGCAAGCCTCATATTTGCCGCACATGACTCCGCATCCAGAACCCTGCCCACCCTTACACCCCCCTATTCTCCCATACACACCCCAAGTACACACCTTGGGGTCGATCTGGACGTCCACCTCGTCCACCTCCGGCATGATGGCCATGGTGGCTGTGCTGGTGTGCACCCGGCCAGAGGTCTCGGTGCTGGGCACGCGTTGCACGCGATGCACGCCGGACTCATGCTTCAGCTTGCTGTACACCCTGCGGGGATGGGATGCGGATGGTGGCCCACCTCAGGGCCCAGGTGCTGGCTTCGCTCTGCTGTGGACACCCGTCCCAGCCCTCAGCCCATCCACCTAGATCGCCCCCCCAGCGCCCGGGCTCACTTGTCCCCCGTGATGCGCAGCACCGCCTCCTTGTACCCGCCGCCCTCCGCCAGGCTCTCCGACACCAGGCTCACGCGCCAGCCCTGCAGCTCGGCGTAGCGCTGGTACATGCGCACCAGCTCGGCGGCCCACAGCGCGGCCTCGTCACCCCCCGTACCCGCCCGCACCTCCAGCATGATGTTGCGCTCGTCCAGCGGGTCGCGGGGGAGGAGCAGCAGGCGCAGCGCCTCCGCCTGCGCGCCCAGCCGCTCCGCCAGGCCCTCCACCTCCTCGCGCGCCATGGCCTCCATGTCGGCGTCGCCCTCCGACTCGCGCAGCACCTCCCGCGCCGAGGCCAGCTCCGCCTCCAGCGCGCGGTACCGCTCGTACCCGCTCACCCGCTCCTGCATCTCCGCCGCGGCGCGGGCCAGGCGCTGGTACTCGGTGGGGTCGCCCGCCACCGCGGGCGTGGCCATGCCGGCCTGCAGCTCCGCGTGGCTGCGGGCCAGGTCCTCCAGCTTGGCCAGCACGTAAGGGTCCTTTGTTTTTTGGGGGGGGGGTTGTTAGGAGGTAGGTGCTGTAAAGAATGACGCAAGGTGAGGGGATGCCGCCTGCCGGCCCATGGGAGAGAACAGGCGATCCACCACCCCAACCCGATTGCTACCCACCGCTGCGGCCCTGGCGACGATGTAATGCCGGGGCGCGACGCGAGGTGGATTGGCGGGGCATGCGGTGCTGGGAGTGAATGGCCGAGGCCCTGCACAGGATCGAGAGGGGCGCAGGGAGGGCATGGCCGCGGCGCCCCAGGCCAGGGCACCCGACGGCAGTGCCGGGCTCATGATGAGCGTCGAGACGCCTGGTTAACAATCCTGGTCGCGCTGGCGGCAGACACTCATGCGTCCTCGGTTATAGATAAACACAGTTTGATGCACATATGAAATGTATCGTGGCGAGCAGTCAGTCGCTCCCAATTGCATGACTGGCGATAGCTCGGTCGCACGTTATCTGGCCGGTCTTCGCGCGCGCACGGGTGTTGACTCTAGCATGTGCCCCACTACACTGCATGAACTTCAGCGGGAGCCCCTCTTCGTCGTATTCCTTGATTCACGACTGCTTGCATTGCTTTAACACAGATACTGCCACGGCAGCGGCCAGGTATACGAGTTGGGGCATCAGAGACGGAATGCCATGCACTCCTCTCCTCTCCCCCGAGCTGGGCTGAGCTCAGCCGGCGAGCGCGGTGGCGCCCGAGATGATCTCGATCAGCTCGGTGGTGATGGTGGCCTGGCGCGTGCGGTTGTAGGTCAGCGTCAGCTTGCCCAGCATCTCCTCCGCGTTCTTGGTGGAGGACTCCATGGCCGCCATGCGCGACGCCTGCTCGCTGCAGTTGTTCTCCATCAGCGCGTTGTACAGCGTGGAGGCCAGGTTGAACTCGGACAGGTTCTGCAGCAGCTCCGCGCGGTCAGGGCCCTCAATCTCGTACTGGTCCAGCAGGCCGCCGGCCTCGGCCTCCTTCTCCAGGGACTGCAGGGGTGATGGGGAGTTGGAGGGTGATTAGACGAGCCCAGGCGGGGCCAAGTGCGGGGTACATATGCGCCAGTGCCGCACAAGACCTCCCCACCAGCCATGCTCACTTGGTGTCTTCCACATAGACCCACCCAGCAGCCATCCCCCCCGCCCCCCCTCCCCCCCACTCTTTGCTCCCCTCCACCTCCCGCTCACGTCTGGGGAGAGCACGGTGGCGATGGTGGGCTTGTAGGAGATGGCGCTGTGGAAGCGGTTGAAGATGAGGCGCGCCACGTCGAACTCGGTGGTGTTGATGCCGTCGGCGATGGCGGCGGCCTGGGCAAAGGTCACGCGCACTTTCCCCGTGTCCGCCACCGTGGAGTGGATGGAGGCGCGCAGGTCACGCTGGAGCTGGCTGCGCCCCTTCTCCCCCAGCACCACGATGGAGTGCTCCTTGTCCTCGCCGTCCTCGGCCTTGATGCTGGCACGCGTGTACTTGCACACCGTGGTGTTGATGCCGCCGCACAGCCCCTTGTCGGAGGTGATGGGCACGTACACGTTCTTCTTGCCCTGGGCATCGGGCAGGTCGCCCAGCAGCTTCAGGAGGGGCTCAGCGATACCCCGGGAGTTCATGGTGTTCACCTGCGCCGATCGCATCTTGGAGGCGGCCACCATCTTCATGGCCTTGGTGATCTTGCCGATGTTGGCCACCGACTTCATGCGCTGCTTCACTGCACGGAGGTGGCGTGGGAGGGGGAGGGGAGATGACAAACCCGGGCCCGATCGCGCGGGGGGTGGAGTCGGCGTAATTCTTGCTTTACACTACCTCCAGGCCAGCATACCGAGCAGGGTGGAGGCATCGCGAGCTCCCTCGACGGCCTCCCTGCACGGCACGGGGATGGGACAGAGGTGACTCGACCGGGGAGTAGCGGGCACGCACACCCACGCTGCCGGGCAGGCACACTCCGAACTTACTCTGCGACAGCGAAGCTGGGCTTCAGTCCCTGCACCGCAGGCTCGAGCTGGCCCTGCCTCTGGCAGAGCCTGCTGCCGAGGCTGTGACCCGCCCGCCGCAGCATCCTTCCTGATTCCCCAGGCTCTCGGGGGGTTTGCTAGGAGTGAACCGTGCGTGTAAGGGGCTGGGGTTTGGCACGAGAATTGAAGGGTGGGGGGGGTCACATGTCGCTGCGCCCGTGTCTCTGAAAATCGTTTGCCGGGGTCTAAGTAGCGCGGGAAGGATGGTTGCCTGGTGAGCAAGAGCAACCGATGACTCGCATCAGGTTCCTCTGACTGGGAATCTCGAATGTAAGATCTTACAGGGAGGCAGGTATCAGGCTCCGGTCGATGAGTGTACACAGGGCGGGGAACCTGGCTGCAGGCGGGTCTCTGCACCCCAGGGGTCCCCCAACCCACCCTATCGCTTGCGCTCCGCCTTCCACTTAAACACGCCCTTCTGCCCGCCGGCCTCCGCCGGCGTCAGCTTTCGTTTCCTGCCCTTCCCCGCGACCTCCTTGGCGTACGCCATGCGCGCCGCCAGTGCGCTCAGCTTCTCGCCCCGCGCCTGCCGCTGCAGCAGCTCCTTGTACGCCGTCGCCCGCCGTCGCTCGCTGCGCGCCGCCACGCCCGCCAGCGTGTCGCCCTCCGCCACGGGGGGAGGGTTGGCCAGCTGTTCCGTCCTGGGACGGTTAAAGGCGCGCCCTACCAAGTCAGGGTGGGTGTCGAAGTAGGCTGCGGGGTCAAAGGCGGCCGCCTCCTCCTCGCCATCCACGAACACGGTGTGCCGTGGCTTAGCCATGCCAATCATGTGCAGGGAGCTCCTCAGCCTCTCCACTTTCTGAGGCAAGGGATGGGCGAAGGGTGTGGTTTCGTGTGAACGTGTGTGAGATTCCGAGGGAGAGGTAACGATGAGGAGGGGACTGACTGCGGCTTTTCAGTGTGTACGACAGGACCCCACAACAGCATCGTCCTCCCACCATCTACCCATCCGCCCCACCAAATCACCTTTGCCTCGGCCTGGGCCTTGAGGGTCAGGTAGCCCACGTCCTGGGTCTTCATCAGTCGCAGCTCCTCCTGGGAGTACCTGTTGGGCTCGCTGGTGCTAACCACATGCACGCCGTCCTTGGTCCGTGCCTTCTCCATCGCAAAGTAGAACTCATCTGGGTTGCGGGCCTCCGCCTTGCCGCGCAGAACCTGAACGAAGGAGGAGGGAGGGAGGGAGGGCGGTCGTGCGCTGGTGTCCATCGCGGAGGCTTGGCGGTGAAGGTGTCATGCCTGCAGGACTGGCAGTGACTGCAGACTGACGGTCCTGCTGCAATCACGCAGCCTCCCAAGCCTCACTGAAACAGAGACACCACACTCCGCCCACCCGGATGGCATCCTCCTTTTTGTGAAAGTCCTTGGCACGAAGTAGGTAGTCCTTTTTCTTCTCAAGGAGCCCAAACTTCCGGCGTGCAGTCCTGCGGTGGGTGCAGGGTTGCCGTCCAGTGCGCTGCGCACAACGTAGCGACGCGCACAACGTATGCACAATGTCACACAACAACAAATTGCGTTCACTCACGGCTGTGCACGCTCCTTATGCGTTTTACGCTTCACGGCATTCTTCAGAGACGCGCTCATCGCGCCTGGCCCCGGGCGTCGCCCTCGCCAGCAACACTGCCCAGCTCCACCGCTGAACTGTGGGTTATATGAAACTAGCGGTTTGGAGATTTATATGTTGTTCCAATGGATCAGGGGGCGCTGAGGGATGCTTGGTGCTCTCCGCTCGTCGACTTCTTCATGCTGTGCTGTGGTGGCCAGGTCACCCCCCCACTCCCCCTTCCAATGCGTCCGACTCTCAGGGGATGTTTGTACCAATAAGCTTGCCCGCGGCAACCTCGCGATACAGAGGATTACATGGGTAGCCAGCATAAGGAACCATGCCATGCCAAAACATACTGAGAGAGGGGGGGCACCCTTCTACTAGGACAACTCTATTAAAACGACACACACGTGCTGCAAGCGGCCGCCTACCTAGCGAAACATGGAAAAGTGTGCAGGAGCTTTGAGGAATTCATTTCTTGTGAGCTCCATTCCTGGACTTGGCTTTCTTGCTGCCCTTGTAAGCAGCTGCTGCGGGGAGCTCTGGCGTGCGAACAGCCTGCGGGGTCTTGCCAGCATCTACCAGGTTAGCCTTTGCTGCGAAGGGGAAGGGCTTATTTGGATTAGACCCCATGGTAACCTGACCAGAAGTATTGGTGTGCTGCATGAATGTACAGTTCCCCAGCGAGAGCAACTCACATCCTCAATGCCCCTGCATACCTGCCACAGCAGGAGAGCCAGTTGTGGGTTCCTTCTCCACACTCTTGGGTGTTGCGACATCAGGGATAGCCGCCGGGGGCTCGGTGTCGTCTGAAGCGTGCTTCAGGGGCGAGGGAGGGTCGGATGCTGCATCCTCCTCGATGGCATGCTCGATTCTGGCAGCAGGTTCCACTCTTGCTGCAACCTTGGGTGGCGGAGCGGACCCCTCTATCTCAGGCGAGGTAACTGTCTCAGAACTGGCTGAAGGCTTTCCAGTGGAAGGAACCACCTGGTGTAGGATGGGATCGTGTGATTGGTGCGATGGTAGCCAGTCCAGATCACCGGCGCCCGTCACCCACTCACCCCGCACCTTGTCCAGCTTCAGCTTGGTCGCGATGTCGGGGTAGTGACTCGCAAGCGTGACGATCGCGCCCTGGATCAGGCCGACAATGGCTCCCGCCAGGGTGAAGACCGCGGCCGTGGCCTGATCGAGGTACACCTGGGGTAGCTTTGCGGACGTCGCCATGGTGCCCGAATCAAGCTCGCAAGGCGGTCCTGTGACAAAGATTTGGGCTTGCTCATGCGCGAGCCATCATAACGGTATTGGTCAGCATTCTGCGGGGGGGTCCTGGAGCTGAGGGTGCTGCTGACGTGGCAAGCCTGCAAATCCTTACAGCGTATAGATGCAAGGAGTCGGGGTTGGCACCAGTCGCCCAGACGAGAAGCGGGAGCCTGGGTCTTTGGTCCGTGCACTGGACGGGTGCATGGCCAGGGCACGCCCAGTCACTGGCTACCGTCCTCCCACGCCCTGCCCCGGCGATCCGATGCGGCCGGGGCACGCCTGGACCCCACCCGCTGCAGGGAGGCAGTGCGAGCCGACGATGCCACTCGCCGCAGCTCCCTGCTCCTGTCCCGTGCCAGCGAGCCGCCTGACCCCGCGAGGTCGTGCCCTCGCGCCTCGCCTCCCAGCGTCTCGCCTCGCTGCGCCGCCTGCACCGCCTCCCACGCCTCCTCCTGCGTCAGGACCGGGGGGTCCCAGCCGGGGTCGGCGGCCCGCGAGCCCCCCGCCTCGCCTCGCCCGGCCCGCCCCGGCCCGCCAGACTCCCCTGGGCCACGCAGGGACTGGGAGCGGGCCACGCCGCGCCGCGGAGGATCCTGCTGAACGACGTCTTCCAGCTCCAGCTCGTAGTACCTGGCACCACGGGGCGCCTGCAGGGACTCTGCGTGCGCCAGCTCCTCCTGGTACACCACAGGCCGCCGCGGCGCCGGCAGCGAGGTCTGCGGCCGCAACCTGGCGGCTGGGGCTCGCGCCGCGGGCACCGCTGCGATGGCTGGGAAGCGGTCCCGGGCTTCCTCCTCCTCCTCGTCGTCGGCGTCGGCTGCCGCCTCGGCATCAGTGGAGCCACCGGGGGCCGGCGGCGGGGCCGGTTTCGCCGGCAGCCTCCGTGCCCGCGACTCCCGCCGCTCCATGCTGCCCGCTGCAGGCGCGGCGGGGGCAGGGACAGCCTTCTTGCTCATGCTCAGCGATGCAGCCTGTCCGGAAGAGGGGTGTTACATTATGGAGATGATTGCATGGTCAGCTGCGGTGACACACGATCTCTGACAAGTATGGAGGCATATGCAGTCCGAGTAAAACATGCTCTACCTCTTTGAATGACTGTTGAGCTCAACATCAGGCAGCAACAGGTCCAACCCCCAACGAGTCCCCATGCCAAGCTCTCTGGTAGCCTCACCTTGGCGAGCGTCCTGACGGTCGCCGTCACCCCCTCCCCCGAGTCATCCTCATCATCAGCGCCGGCTGCTGCCGAGGCGTCAGCCGCCTCCGCGGTGGGGGAGGCCTTGGTGCACGAGAACAACTTGAAGCAGAGGCCGCCCAGGCCCAGGGAGCAGCAGGCGTACTTGAGGAGCAAGGCCACCAGCGCCACTGCAGCAGTGGAAATGTGTGGAGGTGGCCGAATGTTGCGCTTATTCCCATGCTCCAGACAGATGTCCGCCTGCCAGGGGCGCCTTTGTGTACGAGGCCAGCAGATTGTAGGTCGCCTGGTGCTGAAACGATCCCCACCTTGCTGTCTTGAGTTGTATGGGACCCCCCGGGAATAAATGACGCCCCCCCTAAGAAACCCGTGCGCACCTATGGCCAGCCCGCCCGCTCCTATGCCAGCAATGGCAGACACGCTCAGCGAGGACGCGACGGCCGTGTCCTCTGGGCTGTCTGGCACGGGATGTGCTGTGTAGGGTGGTGGGGAGGGGGGCGGGCTCAGTGGGGCCCGGATGTCGAGCGCCTTTACCCAGGCGTCTGCACCGCCCTCCGACGCACCTGCGGGGGATGGGCTTGGGGGCGGGAAGGGGGACAGCGTTGGACTCTGGCGCGGCGACGGTGGCGGAAAAGACGTCATCCCGCCTCCTCCCGGTGGCGGGGAGGGCGCTGGTGGCGGGGAGGGTGCAGTGGGCGGGGGTGGCGGCGGCGCGCTCCCGGTGGACAGCGCGCAGTAGACGATGCTGCCGGGGTCGAAGGGGTCAAACGGACCGGTTTGCCACCCGACGTCGCAGGTACAGAAGCATGCTGCCATTCCTGCATCGGTCAGCGTGCCATGGCTTCCACAGCTGGCTATCAGGCAAGAGCCCTGCAGTGTCTAGGGAAGGGTCAGGGGATTGGGCGTGCCGGAGGATTTTCAAGGAGCTGGAAGGGAATTCGTCCTGCATGGGCCCGGAACACCCCCAGCACCTGCGCTCGTACCGAGGCAGAGGGGCTGGGAGCACCTGCACAGGTGGGGAGAAGGGTTCATGCAATGTTTGATTGGGCAGGCGCTGAACTGGTGGTAGCAATGCCAGAATGGAGAGCACAGCACCAGAAGCATCGTCCACGGCAATCAGATTGCCAGGGTCCAACATCCCATCGCGCATTCAAGGCTGAAGGGCATGCACCTGATGGTGAGTTGATTGCAGGAGGGGGTGGAGGGTCCGGGGTGGATGGGGACCCCGTGGAAGGGGGAGGAGGGGAGGGACTGCCGGGAGGAGGCGGTGGGGAGGGACTGGTGGTGGGAGGAGGAGGATAGGGAGGAAAGGGAGGGAGCAATGAGGGAGGGGGAGGCTTCACGAGGGGGGATCTGAAGCTCGAAGGCGATGATGGAGGCGGGGAGGCAGGGTCTGGGGGCGGTGCATCAACTGGCGAGGGAGGTGGGGGTGCAGGAGCTGGTGGGGGCGGGGATGGCTGCGATGGTGGGGAGCTGGGTGGAGGAGGGACAGCTGGAGGAGATTGTGGGGGAGGGGAATCCAGTGGAGGAGGTGGCGAGGGCTCGGAGGGGGCAGGAACCGGCGGCGTGGAGGCTTGAGGACTTGGAGGTTGACTCATTGGTAGAAGGGATGGTGCTGGACTCAGGAACGTGGAGTATGTGGGACTGGCTTCAGGCGGCGAAGCAGGGGTAGGGGATGGAGCCGTGGGAAAAGGACTTGCGCCTGCCTCCGATGGCGAAAGCACAGGGGCCGATGGCGAAGGCACAGAGGCTGATGGCTGCAGTGTGGGTGGCGGAGGCAGAGGGGAGGGCGGAGGGGGGTGTGGCGGGGGCGAGGACGGAGGAGGGTGCAGTGACGGCGGTGGCGGTGGCGGTGGCAGCCACGGGGGCGGAGGGGATGGTGGCGAGGGGATGGTCGGTGGGGATGGAGGGGGTGGAGGGGGTGATGGCGGGGGCGCGGAGGGCAAAGATATTGGAGGTGGTGGAAAGGGAGGCGGGGAGGGTGGTGGTGGGGAAGGAGGCGGCAAGACTGGAGGAGGTGGAGGGGGGGTGGGAGGCGATGGGCTGGGTGGAGGGGGGGTGGGAGACGGTGGGCTGGGTGGAGGGGACCTCGGGGGTGGGAACTGTCTGAAGACAGGTGATGGAGGTGGCAGAACAGTCGCCAGAAGCTTTACACGAACCGGGGCCTCCAACATGTCCGGGGGTGGTTGGAATGCCTGGGCACTGGTCTCTCTCAAACTTCGACCATGAGGGTGAGCCCTGTCCCCGAATGGTTCCCCAGACAGAAATCTGCGTCCATGGGCTCCGGTCGCAATGATGACGAGGAGGGTGATCACTCGCCAACACCCCATGATGACCTCTGAACGACACCAAAATTTCATGCCATCGCTTCAGGACTGTGCTACAGCTCATTACAGGTTGTTTCCTCGGAGTCGTGCTCGATGCTGAGGCCACGGTGCAAGGGAGGTGGTCGGTCACGAGGGCTGGCTTACAAGCAAGCTGGATCCCGAACGGAGTTTGCAATCCTCGGGAAGGGCGGTGTACGACTCCACAGCAAGGTTGAGAAGGGTCTGGGGATGTCTTACCCATACATATAGCGGTGCATATCTGTCCGGCTGCCATCATCGACGACAGTGCCACCGGATCGGGATCTGGATGGCTCTGCCGGTCGCCCGCATGAGTCAGCGAGGCGCCTGGTGGGCATATCCTATCCCTAACAGCATTCAATCCTGGAGAAGTATTACCGACACGTCAGTTCGCAGGTCGGGCAGTTATGCAGCACTTCATGAATATAGGCGTCGCAGTCCAAACAATAGGTCTGGCGGCACTCTGGACATTGAAAGGTCAGGTCCCCGGATGCAAAATCGTGCCCACATCCGGCGCAGCGCTTCGCCTGTAGGGATTAGAGGGGAAGGTGTGAGCCCGTGACGCTTTGATAAGAGTATGAACATCCCTGAGCGGTTTGTTCAAGGGGCTGCCTGCACTCTCCCCGAATGCGGTGGCCTACAGCAGTGCAGGACAGCAGCATGCCATCCGTGCATCCCCCACAAACCCATCCTGGCAGACAACACCCTTGCACGTGCCTCATCTTCGGCCCCAGTCTCCACGAAAACGGGAGCTGGGAAGAGGTGATGGTAGGACCGCGAGAGATGCGGTGCGGACACCAGTGTCAGTCCACACACGTGGCATTGGGAGGGCAGCTCCGCCACACGCGCCGCGCATTGTGGACATGTGTACCCACCGGACAGGAGCACAGCCTCCGGACCTGCGGGATGGCAATTGAATTACAGAGCGAGCTGACATCCCGGCCCTGTCTCTAGAGACAGTGCAGGCTCTCCTGTGCGCTCCATGATGGCAGGATTTCCTTACCACAGGTTTGCATCTTCCCCTTGCCTCAATAACACCAAGAATACAAAAAGCCACACTGCACTCATGCTTGATCTCGTCGCACCTGTGGGCCCCCTTCCCCTCCCCCTGCCTGCCACCTTCCATCTATTGAAGCCCCACCTGTGAAGACGGCGGCGCCCGGGGCCTGGGGCTCCCTCCTGGGAAACCCCATCTTCACCAGGCTGTAGTTGCTCGACCCCGGCGCCATGGGGGGCGGCACAGCATGCTCCAGTACCAGGTCGGACAGGTGGCTCTCCCCCAGGGCCACGCCGTACCTCCCCCCCGTCACCCGCGTCATCTCCCGGCAGACGTACACCTCGGCGGAGAGGCCGACCACCGACACCTGCACCCGCGCGGCGCGCGCGGCCTGCACGCTGGCCATGATGTCGCCTGGAGGGGCAGCAGAGCGATGGGTGAGTGTGGTTGGATTGGGGTAGGATGGTCGGCAGGGAGGGGGTGTGGGGAGTGGTGTGCAGCAGAGCTCGCATGTGGGCTGCATTCGCGGAGGGAAGTGGAAAGCGATGCCACCCCCGCCCTCCGTGGACGCCCCAGCAGCGACCCCACCCCCCATGCCTCGCACCTGGGTCGCAGCTGGAGAGTCCGGCAAAGAGGATCAGCACCTCACGTTGCGCGTAGGGCGGCACGCTGCGCAGACCCCCCACCGCCAGGTCCAGTGCATTCTGGAGCGAGGCATCGCCCCCCGTGTCCAGGCTGGACTTCAGCCTGGCGATGTGCGCCTCCTGCACGACGAACGACGAGTGTTGGGGGGGGGGGGCTGACAAGCCTGCGTGGGTCGCCAACACGGCCGGCTTGCCGGTGCATGTGGCAGCGCGCTCTGCGCGCGCGACGAGCCCCCCCCCACGCCCAGGTCCCCGCGTACACACCCCACCGGGCTGGAGGCGAGGGGGCTGAGCACGCGCGCGGTGCCCTCGCGCATGGCGACCAGGCCCAGCTGGCTCAGCGGGTTCTCGTCGAAGAAGGCGCGGATGAAGCGGGCCAGGCAGCCGGCCATGACCGCGGCGCGCAGGGGTCGCATGTCGGTGGCGGCCGCCGCGCGGGACAGGTCCACCACCACCTGCAGGTAGCGGATGAGGCCTCGCTGGACACGCGCCGCGTGCGCCGCGTTCAGGGTCCGGGTGCGTCGGGCCCTGCGCTCCGCCGCCGAGTCCTGGAGTGGACGTTTGGGGGGTCGGCGAGCCGGTGTGAGAGGTGGAGTAGCACAGACCCGCCAAGGGAGCGGCATGCCTGTGCCGCTGGGTGCAGCGCCAGAGTTGGACAGCCCCGGCTGAGCATCACTTGCGAGCATGCCTGCTCCTGACCTCAGGCTGATGCCTGATCCACCACGCACCGGGCCCCGGAGGTTGCCCTGATCGTCCTCCTGCAGCTGCTCCCAGGAGTAGTCGTCCTCGTACTCCCTCTCGTACGCCAGCTGCTCGGCCTGCTGCTCCTGGGCCCTGTACAGGGACGGTGGGATTCCTTTGGCTGTCCGGAGGCCGACGTGTTCGGCGCATTACCACTCCTGGCGGCCACCTCACCCGACCTCCTCGTCCGCCTCGTCGGGCTCAGGGTTGTTCGCAAGGTCCATCATCAGCACTTCGGCTGGCGCACTGATCTTTAACAGGAGATGGTCGTCCTATTGCAGGTCATTGACCTCCGATCTCATCGATCATGCCTGGCTGGGCCATCCAGATCGGCCTTCGCGCATGGGCACAGGCGTGCAGTGTGACCCTGCAGGCCGGCCGCCCCTGCGTTCCCAACCACCGATCTTGTCCTGCTCCTATCCTAAGCTAGGGCAATCCAATCTCATTACATCCTCGTTGCTGCGATTTGTTTTAAACAAGGGGCATCTGTGTCGCAAGAGAGTTCGCGCGCGCCCGTCCGTGGATTGCTCGCGAGCAAGATGCCAGGGCGCAGCATCAACTGGCTTGCTGCGGACACCTTCAGAGACGGCGCCACAGGCTCACATCCTCAGGACCCGCGTGCAAGCCTTACAGCGAGAGATTGGGTGATCGAGTCCATCCTGCTCTGAGCGCGGGCGCCGAACTTATACACACACACACACACACACACACACACGGCGGCCACCACCTCAGTACATGCTGAACAGATCGTCCAGGCCCTTGCGCAGGCGCTGCACCCCCGCCTCGGGATCCAGCGGCACCGCCTCCGGCGCCGCCAGGGGCTCCACCTGGACCCCCAGCTCCGCCGCCACGGCACGCAGCTGCTCCAGCTCGGCCCCAGGGGTCACGAGGCTGGTCGCGGTCCCCGGGCCGCCGCCGATCCGCCCCAGGCGCCCCACCACGTGCGCGTGCTGCGCCGCGTCGGCCGGCGGGCCCAGGCAGTACACCGCCTGCACCGCGGGCAGGTCCAGGCCGCGCGCCGCGGCGGGCGTGGTGACGAGCAGCGTGGCGGAGCCGTCGCGGAAGGCGCTCAGCGTGCGCAGCGCGTCGGCGCCGCCGGGCAGCAGCACCGACAGCCGGGCCGCGCCCCAGAGCACACGGCGCAGTGGGTCCGCGATGGCCGCCGCCTGCGCCTCGCTGGGCGCGAAGACGATGGTGCGGGGCGGCGCCTCGTCGGGGCCGGACCTGCGGGCGAGTGGTGAGGAGAGGGGGGCGGGACCCTCTGACTCGACGTGCCGATGCAGAGGTGTCAGGCCCAGGCATGATGTGTTGTCCCCTCCGCCGACTGCCTCCCCCTGGGACCCGCTTGTCCTCCATAAAACAACAACAGCGACAGCCATCCTCCCCCCGCACCCCTGGTAGTCGGCCTGCAGCTGGCGGCAGAGGGTGGCCAGGGCCTGCTCTTTCCGCTCGATCGCGATGTAGCGGTGGCGCACGGAGGCGGGCGGGCCCAGCGGCGTCGTCCCGCTGCCGGGGACGATCACCGACTGCTCGTCCCTGAGCCAGCCCCGGGTCCGGAAGAGCTGGGGCGTGGCGCTGGCGACCAGCGAGGCGCCCACCAGCACGACCGCAGGGCGTGGGCTGATGGCAGGTCCCAGGGCGGCGCTGAGCACAGAGTCCAGGGCCTTGGTCGCTGCCTGCATGAGAATGAGTGAATGTGGAGGGGGGAAGCAGGAGGGCCTGAGTGGGGCCAGGAGGTGATCAAGGTTGTGCGAGACCTGATGACCTCATTCCGGCACAGGCCCATCGTGTGCAAGCCCCTCACCTCGGCGCATGCGTCCGCCTCGTCGATGACCAGCAGCTTGGCATGCTGCACGATCTCCACCCCGCCCGGCATCTGAGTTCGATGGGAGAGCGCATGGGTTGAAGGAAGGGACCCAACTTATCGGACGATCACGGCGATGCACATGCGCTGGGGACAGAGGCACAGGCATGGGCAAAACCAGACTTAAGCTGACGGTCACCCTGTACAATGGGGCATCATTGCAGTGGGGTTCAGCATTCCCATGCAAGCAGGGTCTCGAGTCCTTGATGATTCTCTGGGCCGTCTCCTGCGCCCACCTGCATTGCCGCAGCGATGAGCTCCGGAGTCCCCACCACGGCATGCACTGCATCAAGGTAGCCGTCGCCCCGGGCCGCCTCCACCTCCTCCGGCAGCAGCTGGCCCCGGACCTTTTACCGTGTTAGGTGCTTAACAGCGTCGAGGGCACGCACATCAGCCTCATTGCAGCATGGCAGGGAGGAACAAAGCTTGGGTGACCATAAAATCAAGTGCACATTCAGGCCCACCCTACACCCTCACATGAGGCTGGGGCATGCTCACCTTGATGCCGCGCGGCCCGCTGTAGTTGAACATGTTGCCGGGTGTCCCCGGTACGTGACCCCGGTTCAGGGACCCGCCCAGAAGCTGGTACATGAGCATTGTTACCTGGACCCCCAGGTCCCGGGTTGGGACGATGATCACGACCTGTGGCCCCTGTGGATGCATTGAGGGAGGAGGCAGCTGTGCTCATGTGAACAGAGGCCCTGTGCTCCCTGCCATGCCCCATGAGGTAGCAGTGTCTTCTGATCCCATGCCAAAGCCCGGGCAGCCGCGGCCCCTACCCACACCGCCCCCCCTCCATGTGCACCCAGGCGCCTCATAAACTCGCCTCGAGGTCCTCGGGGTACAGAGCTGGAGACGCATCCAGTGCCGCCAACGCGGGGAGCACGAAGGCCAGGGTCTTGCCGGACCCTGTCTGGGCGGTGACGCAGGCGTCGGTGCCGGACAGCAGAGCAGGAATGGCGCGGGCCTGGGTGGTGGTTGGGAGGGTGAACCCCAGCTGCCGGGCGCGGTCTGCGAGCCAGGGGGGTAGCCCCAGCTCCTCCCAGGAGCCGGGGGGAGGGGATCCTGTGGTCGCGGCTATCCGATCGCGCAGCTGACTGGCCCTCGAGAAGTCCTGGGAAGCCACAGCGGCGTGGAGCTCCGTGTGCAGGAGATTGAGGTCTTCGCTCGCCGGCGTGTGGTTTGGGCCCGGCGAGGCCTCGGCTCGAGCATAACCAGCGCGCAGCCTTCTCACAAAGGCATGCTTGCGGTGCACCGTTGCACAGCGGAACACACGGCTGGAGGGTATTCGCACAGGGTATAACAAGCAGAGCCGCGCTGCGGGAGTGATCTGGTGCATGGCGATGTGGTAATAGCTTTATGGGATCTTGTGTTATCTAAGTACAATTGTTTATATTCAAAGACGCTACTTGGCGTCGATGGTCGGTCCCCAATCTCGGCCACATACAAGGATGTCGACAATGCGATCTGATCGGGCGCGAGAACATTGCCCTTCGCGAGATCGGCTCCTGGCGTGCGATGCTCTTACGATACACCAAATGACGGTGTGGAATGGTGTGTTCTGCTGACGCTTGTCATCGCCAACCAGCAGGGCGTGTAGGTGGGGCACCCCCGTCGGTGTTCACCAAAGAGCCCGACCGACTATAGGGCTGCATCGTCGCCTGCAAAGTCTCTCACGACAGAGGCTGCACGTGTAAATTCAAATGATGAGATCGGAGGTGCGGAATCGATAGGCTCTCTTACATCAAGTCGATCGCCCCTCTGAGGGCCTGCCGGCCATGGCGCAGGAGGTCGATAGCAGCGACGAGCCCCGCCTCAAGTACTCCGCCTTGTCCCCAGACACCTCGATCCCTGGAACTGCACTGCTCCTGGCTGTCTCGGATAAGGTCTTGGCGCTCGGGACCAGTACTGGAGCTGTCCTTGTCCTGGACTACAATGGCAACCAGGTACTTGTGATGGTGGTGTGGTCTGCATTGGGACCATGCATTGCGAGCTCGCTGTTTTCATTTGCCCCTGGGGGTGATGAAGAGGCGTGTCCCGCGACTGGGTGGAGGTATCCGGTGGGTTAGAGCGTGTAATGGGCAGGTAGTTCACCCCGCTAATTGAGTCACTCCAGCCCATTCGTGAGCAGTGCCGATCAAACGACCCCCCTCCCCACCCCTGCACCAGGTCCAGGCCTTCAAGGAGCATCATGCCGCTGTGACAGACCTGTCATTTGATGCCGAGGCAGAGTACCTGGCCTCCTGCTCGGCTGACGGCTGGGTCGTGGTATGCCTGGTGCATGGGTGGTGTGCCTGCATGCCCACCTAATGCTTCATCCAGAGATTGACACACGAGGACTTACAGGGAATGCAGTAGCAGCCTCCCTCTCCAAAGCTGCGTTCCAAGCGTCCAAAGCCTGCAATCCACTCTCGATTCGCAGATATATGGACTGTACACGGGGGACATCCGGCGGCATAACTGCCATCAGCCACTTACGGTGAGCAGGGTCTGCCGGATAGTGATCTGTTGTGCCGGGCCGCTGGCACAAGCTGGGCAATTTCAAAAGTTGCTGTTGGCGTGCCACAGTCCTCACACCACCTGCTGACCTGCTGGCCACGCAGACCGTTGCCCTGGATCCCCGCTACTCCGAGCGCAAGACTCGCGAGTTTGTCCATGGCAGCCAGTCCGGCACCCTCACCCTCATCTCAAAGGTGATTGTCCGATATCTTTACAAAGGCGCGATGTGTGCAGGGGTGGCACTGTCAGATGGGAGTCTCAAGCCGAGTATCAAGGCTGCCGCTTACCTCAGGTGGTCCCGCATGATGCGCATGTGGCATGTATCTTTGGCAGCATAGAGTCTCGCTGCAGACCATGGCACAAATACTGTGCTGTGCTGCCACCATGCCTAACCTCAACTCCCTTCGCCTCCACGGTCTCCCTCCATAGGGCTGGCTGGGGAGCAGCGAGACCCCCCTGTTCAGGGGGCGGGGTGCCGTCCAGGTGGCTCGCATGGCCGGCACCCTCCTCGCCTGGGTCACGGCCACAGGCCTCCGGGTCTACGACACCGCCACACACACGCGGCTGGCCAAGATCCCGGCCCCGAAGACGCCCGCGGGCGAGGCCGCGGCCCCAGCCTCCCTCCTCTGGTTGGGCATCCGGGAGCTCTATGTGGGCTGGGGCCGCACGGTCCTGGTGAGGTGGGGTGGAAAGGGCGGATAGGTGTGGGAGCAAGTTTTGAGTTTTTGGCCAAGGGAACGAGCACTGCAATTCCTGCCTCTGGACCAACATCTTTTGTGAAAGCCGCGGTCCGGCATGCTCCCGAGGTCGTTCCTCATTCTGGCAAAGGACGCTCGTCCGACCAGGCCTGTCTCATGCATGTGTCAGACGCGCAGGCCATCCCACGCTGGAGTCTGCCAGCAATGCACAGACGTCCCCGTCGCAGAGTCCGACGCCACCCTTGCCCTCCCCCAACCTCACCCCCAGGTGCTGCGAGTGGTGAGGGATTCCCTGGTCCCCTCTGCCAGCTCCAGCGCGGCGTCTGCCTACAGCGTGCCCGCGCTGCGCATGGAGACCGTGGTTTCCATCCAAGTGCCCTTCTCCGTCGCGGGCCTGGCGCCCTTTGGCGTGGAGCTGGCCGTCCTGGGGACGGCGGTCGAGAGCCTGCTGGGCAAAGGCGAAGCAGGCGGGGCGAAGGGCAGCAAGCCGGCTGACGGTTTGGAGACCGGAGAGGGCCAGGAAGCGGAGGCAATGGCCAGAGCGGTGGAGGCACCACAGCCTCCTGGTGCCCAGACAGAGGCTCTTGGTTCTGCTGCTGGTGGCACCTCACCTGATGCCAATGGCCCAGGAGCCAGGGCTGGTGCAGGTCCTGCTTCACTGTCCCCTGAGGTGTCAGCCTTGGGGTCGCCGCCGCCCAGCCCGAACCCCAAGACGGAGAGGAGGAGGAGCGGCGGTGAGCAGGCGCCATCGGCCTCGGATGCCACCCCCGACAAAGGTGTCCCACCACCGGAGCAGCATGCCCGACGAGGCCCTGTCCCCCCCGCCCCCCGCTTCCTGCATGTCCTGGACCGGAGCGGCCGCATCCTCTCCAGCGACGAGCTGGACGTGGGCCCCGGCGCCACGCTGGCAGTGTTCTACACGGAAAGCGCGCACAGGGCCAGTGAGGCCGTGGAGAAGGGCACCGGCTTGGCGCCGACGCTCGTCCTGGAGGCGCTGCCGAAGGGCGGCGACAGCAGAGTCGCAGGCGCGGGGGCGGCCGACGCGGGGACTGCATCCAGCGAACCTTCCAGCGACGCGAGTGCCCTTCCTGGAGCGCCTGACGAAAACGCATCGCATGACAGTCCGTCGGACAGGGGCAGCTCCCATCCTGCCGCGTCAGCCAATGCCAGCCCTGCTGCCACCACGGTGGACACGGCCAGCCCCGTCCATGCGCTACCCACCCCACATCCAGTCCCGCCCGCCACCCCCCCACCGGCTCTGTCGCAGCCGTACAAGTGGTGGCGGGACGGGGACGAGCCGCTGTACTTTCTAACTTCCGGCTCGGGCACCGTGGTGGGGCGCCCACGCGACGGCAACGACCGCGTGGCCTGGATGATGGAGCGGGGGCGCATCGCGGAGGCCCTGGCCGTGGCGGAGTCGGATGCGACAGTCACACGCCCCGTGCGCGAGGCGGTGGGCGAGCAGTACCTGCAGTACCTCGTAGACCGCGATGAATGGGCGGCCACCGCCGCCGCTGCGCCCCGCCTCCTGCAGGTGAGCAGCGGTGTTGTATGGGGGGTCTATCCATGTGAAGGCGGAGGGAGGATGACAGTGTTTGGTGTGGGTGTTGCCTAGGGTGGGACCTGGAAGATCTATACGCCTGGCAGCAGTGGTGTCGCCAACCTTTCGCTCGACAGCAGTATACCCCCTTGCAACAATGTTTCTCCTGCACGCACACGTGCATTAACACCTTTTGAAAACCCAAGCTCCTCACTGGACAGGGTCGGGCCCTGGCGTGGGAGCGGTGGGTGCACGTCTTCGCGGGTGCGCGGGAGCTGCGGCGCCTGGCGCCCCACCTCCCCGTCTCGGAGCCGCAGCTGCGCACCCGTACCTACGACATGGTACTGCAGGCCCTGCTGGTGTCGCCCAACGGTGTGTGAAGGAGGCTGGATGGTCGTCCGAGTACTCAGATGATTGCAAGGATCCCAAGTGGTGGGGGGAATGTGATGAATGAATACATGGCAGGGCACCGAAACATTGGTTGAAGGACTGTTTCGGGCGGCTCGATTACTGCATGCCGTACGGGCACTTGCGCCCTTTCAGGTAATTCTCCCCCGTACCCCCATGCCGCTCCTCAATCGGCCGCCGTCGCCTCGCAGACCACGGCTTGCTACTGGACCTGGTGCGGCGCTGGCCGGCCTCCACCTACTCGGTGCGCGATGTGCAGCGCGCCGTGCTTTCCCGCCTGGCCGCCGCGGGCACAGGCCCCTGCGCGCTCGACGACGTCCTGACCCCGGGGGCCGCCCCAGACCCGCGCCGCGCCGACCTGATGCGCGCTGCGGTGGAGCTGCACGTGCGACGCGGCCAGCACGCGCCCGCGCTGGCCCTGCTGCTCAAGCTCCGCGACCCCGGCGCCTTTGACTACGCAGAGCGGCATGCGCTCCTGGCCGCCGCGGGCGAGGCGGTGCCGGACCTGTTCCGTCTGGACGCGGCGCGCGCGGCGGCGCTGTGCGTCGCGCGCCCCGGCGAGCTGCCCCCCGCCTCGGTGCTGCGCCAGCTGGCGGCGGCGGCGGAGGCGCGCCCCGCGGAGCGAGACGCCTGGCGCCGGCGCGCGCACGAGTACCTGGCCGCGCTCTCCACCCGCGAGCCGGCGCTGGCGGCGGAGCACGCCGCGCTGGCGGTGGAGCTGACCGCCGAGTATGATCCGGCCGCCCTGGAAGGCTTGCTCCTGGCCTCCTCCGACTACCCGCTGGAGGAGGCGCTGCGCGTTTGCGAGGCACGCGGAATGGTGCCCGAGCAGGTGCTGGTGCTGGGGCGCATGGGCGCCACGGACCGCGCGCTACGCCTCATCGTGGAGAACCTGCGGGACGTGGGAAGGGTGGGTCAAAGAGGGAGGAAGGGTGGGGGGGGTGTTTTTGAGGGGGTTGGAGGAGGAGGGAATCCCCGGTGCATGGACGTGGTGCGGCAGTTCTGAGTGTTTGTCTCCCGACAATGCAGCGTGCCTCCTGGGACCGGCGCCCGGGGGTCCATGCTTGGGTCTCCGACGCAGGGCAGGGACCTGGCAGGTGACCTTGTTCCCCACTTCTCCCTCCTCGCCCACACCCATCAACAACTCTGCAGGCTGTAGAGTTTGTGCAGAACCAGCGGGATGACGAGCTGTGGGACCTGCTCATCACGCTGGCGCTGGCAGACCCGGAGCTCACAGGTGGGGGGCCGTGGGGCGACCAAGAGGCATGTGCAGCACCTGTGGCCCTGGAGGGGCTGGTCGTGCTTTCTGGGCGTGGTTCTGTCTGTCGAGATGGTCTGGCGTGAGGGACTGCTGGAGTACTGCTTGGCCTCTACCCCACGGTTTTTATCTCGCCCACACCACCTCCACACCTTTCCTCCTTCGATTTCTCACCGCAACCCCCACCCACCCACGCATGCCAGGGGCGCTGCTGGACCACGCCGGCGGCGGAGTGGATCCGCTGGCGGTGGTGTCGCGCCTGCCCCGCCACGCCCACATCCCGCGGCTGAGCCAGCGCCTGGTGCGCATCATCGCCGACTCGCGAACCACCGCCAGCCTGCAGGCCGGCTGCGCCGCCATCCTGAGGGCCGACGCGGGCGCGCTGGCGGCGCGGCTGCGCGGCGCGCTCAGCGCCGCGCTGCCGCGGCTCTACCTGCGCCGGCGGCCGGGCCCTGGCTGGACGCTGGTGGAGAGCGGCGGCGGGGGCGGCGCGAGCGGCGGCAGCGGCGTGCACGACCGCCGCAGGGGCCCGCCCGTTGCCCCCCCCGGCTTCGAGCAGGGGGCCACCTCCGCTGACGAGGGGCCCGTCGCCACGTGGATCGGCGCCCCGCCGAGGGCGGCCGACGACGGCGAGGACGAGCATGAGATCGAAGAGGCCGGTGTGAACGCGAGCAAGGCCCCCCCCGCCAGCAGGCTGTCACCGCTGCGCAGGAAGCCATCGCGCCGGCTGTCTGGGGGTTTGAAGGCTGCCTAGGGGCTGGATGCCGATCGTCAGACCCTCTGCCCGGCGAGCTTGCTTGCGCCCTCGTTCGGTTACACAGGGCACTGGTGAATATGTCGTCAGTCGGTCGGGGTGGTCTATAGGTCAGGAAAGGACAAGTGCGTTGGGGCCTCGCGCTGGGGGTGAGGATGCAATGCGGGTGTGGGGCCGGATCGAGGATGCGCTGATGCAGCACGGGGACATCGATGATCAGCAGCGCCTGGCGGTCTGAATCCTCTTGTACTGTCGGCCAGTCGAACCACTCCGCTCTCTCCCAGCGGCAGGACCCGAATCTCAAGCGGCCGGGCAGCGGCCGCCCATGGCAGCCAGAATGTCGTTCACGAGCCGCAGCTGCGCAAAGCGGTCCACCCGCATCTCGGTCTCGAAGCGGTGCGGCAGCACCCCCGCCAGGCTTCCTAGCTCCACCGGCACGTACCACTTCTCCTCTCCAAGGGATGCAGCCCCCGGTGCGCTTGCTGTGGACGTGTGCATCGGAGGGTTGGATCAGAGGCTCGACGACCCGGAGTGGGATACAAAGGATGGGTACCTGCCTCACACGCGACCCTGATCGTTCAGCACGGGACAGCTCTCCTCCCCAACACGAGCTCACCTGGTATGGGCGAGGCGGCAGTCATCCGCCACGTGAAGCCGGTGTGTCTGTCAGAGTACTGGAACCCTCCCGGGCACGGCTCCGCATGCCAGCCGCACAGCGTCTGTGGGCAGGGGTGGTGACTCGGGGAATCGGCGTGTGCTGCGGATGGGCGGCGGGGTACGACAGCGGGCCCAAGGAAGGACCCCCATACAGGTACACAGGGCGGGAGGAGGGAGATCTCCCGGCCTGCCCCCTTCACTCATTTGCGGGAGCCCATGCTGAAGAGCACTCACGCTGGTGGGGTCGCCGCCTCCTCGGCGCGGCGTGGCCAGGCTGTCCGTTGCCTGCTCGTCGGCTTCCAGGCAGCCCCGGGCCGCCGCCATCACATCATCCTCGGCGCCCAGCCCCGCCTCACAACCGTCCTCCGCCAAGGCCGGCAGTGCATGGGCCGTGCCGCCATCCCGCTCGCGCCCCTGCCCGGGGTCAAAATCCAGGGCACGACGGGCAGGGGCTCCCATCGATGCGCGCACTGCGGCCCCGCGCCGCCCGACCTCGGGCTGCAAGCTCAACGCGGGGAGGGAGAGCCGCCTGCCGGCCGTGGGCCGGCCAGGGGCTGGCGCCGCCTCGAAGACCCCCCGCTCGCCCACCTCTTGTGCCCGCGGGCCCGGCCGCGACTCCGCCGTCATGCCGCTGGCACGGCGCGCCGCCGCCCCCGTCAGCGGGGGCGGGGCCGGCGGCAGCGTGCCAGGCGCAGGGGCTGCCTGCGAAGGTCCCGCCTCGGCGGTGCGATCTGACGGCCGCGCCCCTTCCCCTTCTCGCCTGTCGACCGGAATCACGGCAGGCAGCTGCGTGGGCGCGCCAGGGCGGTGCGACGCGCTGCCGCTGCCGGCCACGCCCCGCCTCTCTTCCTCCGCTTGGGGGGGCGCCGCCTCCCCCGTCGACCCGGCATCGCCGCCCACGCACGGTCCCAGGGTGCCGGCGAGGGAGTAGCTGGCATCTGCCCCGTGCCCCGCATCCCACCCTGGCATGCGCTTGCCGCCGCGGTACACCGACCCGCCCCCCACGCCTTCCGGCGCCAGGGCCCGTGCCTCCAGCATCTCCACAGAAGAAAGCAGGGCAGAGGGCGCCTGCACGCCGGCGCTGGCCTGGGACGGGCCATCGGTCTGCAGGCAGCGGTCAGAGGTCTCTGGGACGCGGGCAAACCTTTCCAGGAAGGAATTCCTGGTGGGGGTAACAAGGGAGTGTGAGGGAGGGACCCTGGACGAGAGCTGGGCACGGGGCTGGCTCACTCACGTAATGCGTGAATCTGAGCAGCGGATCGTGCAGGGAGTCCTGGCACGCAAAGCCCTTGTCCAAAGCTAGAACCCACGTCCCTCTGTTGAACAATCACACCACGCTACCTGGCCCTCAGGGCGACCAGCTCCTTCTCTCGCTCCAGCAGCGCGAGGCGGGCCTCCGCCAGCTGGTCCTGCGCCTCGGCCAGCTCTGCCTGCAGGGCGCCGACCGCGTCGGCCGCCAGCGCCTCGTCGGCCAGCGCGCGCATGGCCTCTGCGCGATCCTGCCACCTGGCCACCAGGCCCTCCGCCGCCCTCTCCACCTCCGACACATGCTGGTTGTGCCGCTCCAGCAGGGCCTGCACCTCCTCGTTGATCTTGGCCTCCTTCAGCTCCTCATACTGCCGCTGCAGGGCGTCGTACTCCGCCTGCAGCGTGACGCCCCGGCGCAGGTCCTGGAGCAGGTCAGAGTCCCCGCCGGGGCTCGGCGGGGGTGGCGCCCGGGCCGAGCTCCGGGGAGCCGGGTCTGGCTGGGTGGGAGGCTCCGAAATGGCAATCACCTTGGTCCTTGCAGGCTCCTGGATGGCTCTTGGAGGGTCCTCGGGCACGTCGACTGTAAGGTCGGCGGGTGAAACTGTGGTGTCCTGGCCGGCCTTTGTTGCCTCGACGGGTGCCAGGGGCGCGCCGGCGCTCTTGGGACGTGACCGCTTGACATCCTGCTTTGCGTCAGGGCCGTCAACTTGAGATGGATCCACAGTGTTCCGGCGCTTGGCGGATGACTTGGCCGGCTTGGTGACAGGGGGCGCCACGGTTTGTGGCTGGGCGTTCTCACCATCCTGGGTGACGAGGTCTACCCGGGCAGCAGCATCGGAGGGGGGCCCATCTGTGGCATTCCGAAGGATGAGCAGGTATTAATTAGGATCGCGCAACAGCACGGCGCGCGTGAGGGTCCCGCTCGATGCATCCCACCGACCTACCCTTGGGGGAGGTTGCAGCGAGGGCTTTCTTGCTCAGCCCGCTGGGACGCCCCCGAGCTGCCTTGGTCTTGGCCACGACAGCTGGCACAGTCGAATTCAGGTCTTTGGCGTTCTCCTTATCCGAGCCGGCAGATTCCGGGGAGGTGAAGGACTTGGTCGTCCTCAGCCATGCCGGGGTGTTACCCACGTCTGGCGCCTTGTCCGAGTAGTTGACGCTGCTCCGCGCACGCAAGCCCCGTCCCACCATGGTGCTAGAAACCTCGATGAACCTCCTGGGGGTGCGAGGCGGGGGGTGGGATGGGCCTGTCGCCACAGTTCAAAACACCCGACAGGTACTCGCCCTTTCCACCGAATGGGAGGCACGAGCTTTTGCCTCCGCCCGCAATTCTGGGTCGAGACCTCGTTCCATTAGAAAATGATGGACCAAAGGGACGATTTTGAGTGCCCATGTCCCAATATGTATCTCAACCCGTGCTCTCCTGGTGGTTTACGTTTGTTGCAATGGTCATCAGGGGGCTGAGGGGGGACGCTGCGATGCCGCCGCCAACACGCTCGCCAGGTCTACAGGAGCCTTGTTGCTCTGTCTTCGTTCCTCCAGGGCTTGATCGCTCAGCCGGGGGAGGCGGAGGAGGAGGTCGTAGGCCGCCACCTGGTTTGCGCCGTCCTTCCAGCTGATCTGGGCAGCGTAGTTGCCCAGCGTCGTCACGGCCAGGGCGACGCCGGCCTCCGGCCCCAGGCCCGGCGCAGGGCTGCCCGTTCCCCCGCTCCACTCGTCGATCGCGCGTGCGGAGGTGTCGTTCCTCCGCACCTCGGCCGCGTCGAGATGGAAAACCGCCTCGCCAGGCAGCCACACGGTGAATGATGCCGATGCCGGGTCGTATGAGATGGCGGCCTGGCTGCCCCTCTCCAGCTTGGCGACCTATGCAAGTGCAACAGGAGCAGCGCTGTTGAGCTGGACATGACCCAGCAAAGACACGGCCAAGCTGCCTCGGCATTCTGCCCACCGCCCCCCATCCACTCAACCCTCCTCTTCCTCCGAAAATCCCAGCTCCGCCTCACCTCGCGCACGACTGCAGCCCCCAGCTCGGCATATGTTTGGGAGGTGGGGCAGGTGGGGTCCACGACGACCAGGGGCAAGCCCTCATCCCCCGCCGAGGAGAGGCCCGGGTCGATGGGAAAGCGGAAGATGTGCGGCAGGCCAAACTCCTCCACAATCTTCTCCCCTGTGATTTGGGGGTGGAAGGGGGGAGTGTGGAGGAGTCCAGCCAAAGCGTCGCCCCATGATGTGGGAGCTCAAAATGTGAGCCAGAAGCTGCAGCGCCAGGCCTTCAAGCGCTACGCTCCTGCTCTCCCACCTGCGCCCTGGCCAAAGGGACGGTGCCGGACGCCGTCCACCTCGAAGTAGGACATGTTTTCCACCACAGCCACGCAGGGCACCTGTCATCGTGTATGTGAGATTGGGAACTGGGTGACAAGGGCAAGCAGCTGTTACTTTCTGGGACACCCATGCAGTGGCCAGTACACCTTGACATACACTGCCTGGCAGCACTTCCACGCAGCCACACGCACACACAGCTGGCATTGACGCTTCACTCACCGCGAGCCGCGCAAACATGCGTATGCCCTTGGCGACATCGATGAAGGCCAGGCGCTGGGGTGTGGTAACGATGACAGCGGCCGACAGCGCACAGGTCTGACACAGGGTGAGCTGGATGTCGCCCGTCCCGGGCGGGAAGTCGATGACGAGGTAATCCAGGTCGCCCCACTCTGTGGTCGTCAGCAGCTGTTGGATGAGCCCTGGAAAGGATGGCGTGGTGTGCAAGGGAAGGGTGATCTTCCCTGGCCATGCCAAGATTCTCCCAAGCAATCGGAGCGGGGCAGAGCTCCAAGAGTCGCAGCACCAATTGTTCCTCAGAGGGATGAGCCCAACAACAAGAAGTGCAACCTTCCCACCCCTGCCACGTCCCCCTTTCCCCCCACCCACACCTGAGACCATGGCTCCCCTCATGATGGCACTGCCCTGTCCTGCAAACCCGAAGGAGACCGCCTTGACCCCCTCAAAGTCCACCGGGGTAATGGCCTACAGGATAGGAGTGTTTTTGCGGCTGGTAAGGGGCAGGAGCAGCTCCAGGACGGCCAGGGCAGCGGTGGACGAACAGAGAACTTGATGCTGGGCGATGGGCTCACAGCATCAGCCGCCCTCTCCGCCCTCTCCAGCACCAGTGCAATGGCAGCCCTCTACTCGCCTTTGTCTCCGGGTCCATGGCAAGCACCCTGGACTCTGGGGAGATCATGGTGGGCAGGCTCGGGCCATACACGTCGGCATCGAAAATGCCCACCCTCGCTCCCATCTGGGCCAGGGTGAAGGCCAGGTTGACTGCGGTGGTGGATTTGCCCACACCTGTATGGTTTGGGAGGGGATGTGAGGTGGAGCACTTGGCGGTATGGGTTTAAGGGCGGCCACGCACGGGGCAAAGCAGCGAAGCAGCAGCTGCGGCAAGCAAGGGTCCCATGGGGAGCAGAGGCCACACAGCGCCATGCCCAGGACACCGTCGACCCCTGCACCCACCTCCCTTGCAGGACGACACAGCGATGATGTGGCGCACACCGCGCAGGCCCCCAGGCTTCCCGGCCGCCTCGGCCCCCTGGCCCGGGACCTGCGCTGGGGGCGAGGCGGTGATGGCCACCTCGGCGGTCGTGACCCAGTCCAGCGCCCGGACGGCCTCCTCCGCCTGCCGCTTGAACTCGTCCTTCACAGGGCAGGCCGGCGTGGTGAGGTTCAGGCGCAGGCTGACCGCGCCGCTGGCCAGGTCGATGGCCAGGTCGTGGACGAAGCCGCAGTCCACGATGTTCTTGCCAAGGTCGGGGTCCATGATGACAGACAGGGCCTGCAGCACCCCCTCCTCCGCGGAGCCATGGGTCAGCGGGGGGCTGGAGGGGCGATCTACCTGGGAGTGGGGTGCGGGGCGGGGAGCTCAGGGCAAGGGGGAAGCATCGGGCGGATCGGGGCCTGAGCCAGGCCATGCTGGGTCGCTGGTCCCGGCGTGCTCCCGGTCATGCAAGCCGAGGCATGGGCCGGGAAGTGATACCTGCGAGACCTCTTCTGACGCCATAGACATGCGAGCGACGCCCGGCTTGCCATCGTGCCTCCGTGACGAGAATGTCGGTGCGGGGGCAGCCCTGCGAGGCGCAGGTTGGCAATTCCACCGACAGGCGGATCTGGGGGCACCATGCAGAGGGGCCCCAGCCCTGCAACCATGTGTGGAATTCAAAATCATCGCATCTCTACATGGAGAACACTCGCATCTCGTTTCTGCATGCCTGAGAGGTTCCACGAGGAGGGGCTTGCCCCCCATGCATGATGAAATCGCCAATCCCAATCACGTGGATGGCCCCAACAATTCGCAAACTCAGACCTGCGTGACGATTCCTCCCCCACACTGATAATCGCACCATTTGTGGCTCGATTGAATGTACAGCATGCATGCCATTGTTGCATCGGCACAATGTGCTCGAGGACCTGCCACACCGACAATGTGCATCGCACCACGCCAAGGCCCACAGACCAATGCGCACAGCCTCTCGCAGTGGACTCCCCGTCCTCCCAAGCATTCCTTCCCACACTTGAGACATGAGTCTCTATACATCGCTTCCTGTACCGTAGAGAAGCGGGCCACAAGAACCCCAGCATGGACACTCCCTGCGCCATGTTCTGATGCCATCTTGGCTGGCAGCACCCTGTACACCGTCATGATCGTGGCACTGGTATGAGGGGAGTCGTTCTCAGTAAAGTGCAACTGTTACCAACCTAATACATCCTGACACAGCTTCATGACACCCCCTTCCCAGATGCTCAAAGCAGTGCTCAGGAGGGAGCACACCAGCTTTTCTCTATCTTTAAAGGCTTACGTCCCCTTGGCTCTGCTCTATGGGTACACGCTGGCTCTCTCTTGGAGACCAGACTTGCTGGGGACCCTCCTTCCAGGCAGTCTTGCAGCTGGGTTTCAAGGTAGGCGTAGAAGATTTTCTGTTTGCAAGCGAGGCTATCGAATGAGAGGCAGTGTAGATTTCTGGATGGTGGCTCATGACACATGGATGCAACACCCCCATGCAGGTGGATGGAACCCCCAGTTCTTCCCTCGACTGGAAGGCATCATGGCCATCTTCTCTCGTCCGGACACAGCACTCTCTGTGTGGCTTCATGTCCTCGCCACCAGTCTCTTCTCAGCCCAGAATCTTTGTAGACAAGGTGAGAACGGTGCTCACGGCTTCCTCCAGGGCTATGACCAAGGCATCCTCTGTGGGACAATGCGTTCATGCGCAGAGTGTTGTGCAGCCGGCACACAAGAAAATTCCTCTCCTTGTTCCCTTCACGCTGCAGTCTTGGTTCAACCACCAGCCCCAGGAGTTAATCCTCCAAGCTGACCTTACAATGTGCCGCTAGGCGTGGTAAAGTGATGAGATCACTCGTTGGTGTCCAGAGTGCCAGATCTGGAAGATATCGATCCCCCCGCGGAAGCGCGCTTCGAATACCGCAGAGACAAGTCCACACCGCGACACTGTGTTGACAAAATCTTTGAGAGCATTATACTGCATACCGGAGTATCATGAGCGGCATGTTGGGCTCAGCATGCGCTCTCGAGCACTCGTTCGCCCCATGCTCGACTCCGTCACTATCACTGGCTAGGCTTCGCACCCCAGCAAGGAGCGCCAGGGCCCCACCGCACACCCATGCAGCCTTCAATTCAAGGAACAGCGTGGATTTCAGGTCCAGGGCCGTGCGCACCACCCGGGAAGAGCTCTACCCGACCGGCAGTCCTCAATCCCTGCAGGGCGGGCTGACCGCCTCCACCTTTGCCCCGGAGAATCTGATGAACGTGACCAAGGATGCAGCCCAGGGAATCATTGCGGGACTCAATGCTGGGCTGTCTCGAATGGAGGTGGAGTTCCCGCTCACCACCGAGATCAATGGTGGGTGCTTCCTGTACATGGGCTAAAAGAGTGGCATGGGTGCGGGGTTTACCTGCCACCTGGCCTCATGAGGGGACATGTCGACCCTTGATCGGTGTCCCGAGTACATCTACATGCTGGCAGGATTCAAGGACAGTGCGGATCAATTCCTGGATGCCAACATCCAACTCGCCATTGCGGCCGGCAGGGTGGTGAGTGGGTGCTTGTCTTCCTGGTGTTGTGGCTTGGGCTGTGCAGGGGTGGGCTGGGCTTGCTTGGGTTCCCACCCTGAAGCCAACGGGATACCTGTGCACAGGATGGAATGGTGAGGTATCTCCTTGCCAGTGTTATGTACCGAGCATCTCCCGAGTGTCACATGGAATCAATGTTCGGACATGCTCCCGCACAGATTCACAAGGAGACAGGGAAGAAGGTCCATCTCCTGCTGCCGGATGGCACCGAGTACCGGCGAGCCATGGGGCTGTGAGTTCGAGCTTTGAGGACTTCAGGGGACGAGTCTCTAGGGGATGTCCTCGCCTGACTGCGCTCACTCAGCTTCCATCACCACCATCGCCCCTCCCCTCCCCCCTCCACCTCGCAAGGTATGGGACCGGGCTGTCCTTGGGCAGCGGCGTCACGCTCGGACACCTCCGGGAGTCGCGGCCTGGGAAGTTTGGGACCTGGTTCCGGGCGCAGGCGAACTCCGCGGACCCTGATGTGGACGCCGCCGCGGCGGGGAGGGGGGCGGAGGTGTTCTTTGCCCTGAATGCGTCCGCCGTGGAGCTGCCAGACATCGAGCGGTATGCCACCGACAGCCTGGATGCCAGCAAGCCCCTGATCACGTGGAACCTGGCGCTGGACACCCTCCGCGCAGACCTGGGTGGGTAGGATGCTCATGTCACGTGTGGCTGCTGGTAGAGGGGCACAGGGGATGTGATGCCCTGCAGGGAGGCTTGCTGCTGGGGATGCGCAGTGCAGCGCTTTCAATGACATGCCACCCAGCCTGAATGTCATGCACACTGACACCCGCTCCCTGCCTACCCCTGCAGGGCTCCTGGGGTTCCCATCAAAAGCCTTGCATGACCGCTTCCTCTCCTTTTTCAAGCCTGTGCTCTATGTCCGCCCCCGGGATTACTCCAAGGTGAGATGACGGATGGTGGTTGGCATTGATGGCATCAAGGAACTTTACTAGATAGCATTGTGGTGATGCACTGATGAATGCAGCGATGCGTCTTCAACTGACAACACTCTTCCACTTTCCTCTCGCCCCCTCCCCACAGAGCACTGCCTCGCCTCCATACATCTCCAACTACAGCGGAATCCTGTTCCGGGAGTTCCCGGGGGAGTGGAAGGTCATGCTGCAGCAACCAAATGGCTCTTACACTGTCGTGGAAGGTGTGTGTCCAGTTGCTGGGTTCAGTGGAGCTGCAATCTGTCGACATTTGTTAGCAGGGTGATGGTAGCAAGTGGATCCACCAGGGACACCTCCTTACCGGCCTTACTGATGTGAAGTACAACACCTGCTCCCAGTCGGGCCATTCACTAACATTCCACCAAGCTGTCCCCCCTCTGCAGGCCGACCCACTCGGTACACCCTGGGAGAGTTCAAGGACGTGTTGATGCGGGCGGCCGGGCTCGACACTGACGCCCAGGGGTCCCTGCTGTCCTTCCTTCGCAAAGGATACAAGGTGGGATCAGGGCACGACGGGAAAGGTTCATATGTATTGGATTGAGTTGCATGATGTACATGCTTGCACCCTCACACGCCGCATGCTCATTCCGCAGACCAAGACTTGGTGGGAGGAGAGGGAGGACAAGGAGCTCTCGCCCGCCTGGAGAGAGTGATAGGGTGCCCTGTCGAGCCCTGTGGAGCGGATTTCCTTTCCGGCCGCAGGATCCTATCTGAGCTCCTGGATTCACATCCCTCCTATCCGCATCAAGCTTGCTGCCCACTGAAATTGAGTGCTGGTCAGAGTCACATGTCACATTCTCTGGTCAGGTCACAGGCTCAGGAGGTGTGATGGGCAGTTCTCAGTAAAAATACCATGAGGCAGAGCTGGAATCTGGTTCAGAAGCTGTGTCCGACAGTCTAGGCCCCCCTCAGGCAGCGGTCCACATGATGGGGATGCCATCCTCCCTCCAGGAGATCCTGCCCTCGCAGAGGGCTGCTACGCAGCGAGGGTACAGCTTGTGCTCCTGTGGGGTCGAGCAGGTGGGTGTTTGGTTGTGCAGGTGTGCATGCATGTCTGTTCACGGGCTCCTTCTCATATTCATGCGAGCCAGGCACGCTTTCCACACCAGCCACCAAATACATACCTCGGCCAGCACTCGTGCCGCCAGCTGCTGGGGGCTGTCCAGGGGGGATACGGCAACGCTGACTTGCGCAAGGATGGGACCTGGGGAAGGGGATGAGGGGAATGAGGAGGGGTGGGGGGAGCCGTGCCGCCAGCTCGAGGCATGCAGTGCCACGACCCTCCTCGCGTGTGCCGCAGCACCATCGGGGGACCCGGGCCTCGTAAAACCAACCCAGGCGTTCAGTAGCCCCACCTTCCCAACAGGAAGAGAAAGAAAGCACGCACCAGTGTCGTAGCCCTCGTCCACAAAGTGCACGGTGGGGCCGGAGAGGCGGGCCCCAGACGTGATCACGGCGGAGTGGACTCGAAGCCCATACAGGCCGCTGCCGCCAAAGGCGGGAAGGAGGCCCGGGTGGATGTTCAGCATGGCCCGGGGGAAGGCCCGCACCAGCTGGGGGGGGATGAGCTTCAGGTACCCCGCCAGCACGACGTAATCCACGCCGTGCTCCTGCGTGGGTTGGTCAGGGGAGATGCACACTCGAGAGGCCCCCAGGTTACAAATCCCACCACACATTCTTTCGTGCCAGGAGCCCGATGAAGCATGCTCACTGCCGGACGCAGCGCAAACCTCATGCCCCTACCTCTCTAAGGGCAGCCACCAGCTCATCAGGGGTGCATCCCTTCGCAGACTTGGACGAGGGGTACACGAGCACAGGGATGCCCAGACGCTCGGCGTACTGCGCTCCACCGCATTGAGGGGCGTTGGTCACCACCACCGCCACCCGACCCTTGATGACACCCGCTGCGCACGCCTCCTGGATGGCTCGGAAGTTGGAGCCCCCGCCGGAGACGAAGACGGCCAGGTTGGCTGGCGCCACTGCCGGGGCGCCCCGGACCTGCTGCGCGCCAACCACGCTGGCTGTCAGGGAATGGAGGTGCCGGGGTCTACGAGAATACGGTGGCTGCTTCGCACAATGAAGCCGTATTCGTCGCGATGCCGCGATCCGGACCCCCGCATGTGCTCTTGCTGTCGAGGCGCAGACACCAGGTCGGTGCGCCACGCAGCCGGCCCAGGCTGCCGCACACCGACTCATCCTGCCCAAGATCGGGCGATACTTTCAATGATTATATTTTCGTATGTAGGTCATTACTAATGCATGTCTCCCTGACCCTGTGCATGCATCGCTTGGTGGTAGTGCAGGCTCTTTCGCATGTGAGCGTTCAGCCGGCCCCGCCATGCACAGCATGGACGAGCATTCCGTGGCCCCGATGCAGTGGATCAAAGTTCGCACCTGCGCGCTCCCTGGCAGCGAGTCGGCATCCTTGTTGGTCTTGTGCGGCTCCTTTGTGTACTCACGCAGCGGCATGGACGCATACGAAAGCAGCACTCAAGGGAGGTAGCCCACCTCCATGGCGTCATGAATCTGGGCGCCACGCATGATCACGCCGACGGGCCATCACCCCGAGCGACCCGGGATATCGATGTCTTGCAGAATTGGAAAGACATATTGCTGCCTGCAGCTACCATCAGGGCCATGCAAGCGTTGCAGTGCCATTCCAATGGCGCTCGGAAGGCGGCCAGGAGCATCATGTTTAAGGAGGAGGGATCCAACTGGCAGACCGTCCTTCCCTCCATTCCGCGCCTCCAGTGCCGAGCGCGAGAACTCGAGGCCTTTGGCGCCCAGATATGTGGCTGGGGAGGGCGAATTCCCCAGCAGCAGCAATGAGCAACACGGAGACGAGGAGGCCCCTGAGATACAGCTCCTCCTGGCAGCCTGCGGGGTCGGACTGGCAGCCGGCGCCAGCATTGTTGGCTTCAACCTGTGCATCCACGCCGTGCAGAGCCTGATCAGCCACGAGTTCCTGGGCAACGCGGAGCCCTGGATTCTTTTAGTTTTGCCCCCCGCTCTGGGTGGTGTCGCGGTGGGGCTGCTGGGCATCGCAGTGGGGGGGTACGATGACCCCCCCACGCCGGGGTCAAAGGAGGCTCTTCCCGGGCCCCAAGGGGAGCCAGAGGAGCAGGCAGCAAGTGTTCGGGCTGACGTCTTCCAGGTGTGTTTCTTTGGATTCATTGAGCTCTCAACATTTCTGCCAGCAGTCTCCCATGGCACCATGCTGCTTGTCAACATGTTGTGTGGTGCCGACATCAGCCTGGAGTGCAGCCAGCTGGGTGGAATCATTCGGTGTGACCTCCTTAACCCTGCTGTGCAATCGATCCCAGCACATCCCGTTTAGACACTTCCCCCCCCCAAAAAACCCCGAATCCCAAAGGCCATGGGGCGCACGTTGGCTCGTTCGGCGGGCGCCATCCTGACCCTTGGCAGCGGCGCCTCGCTGGGCCCTGAAGGCCCCAGCGTGGACATCGGCCAGGCCTGGGCCAAGGGCGCGCGTCTGCTCGTCCCCGGCGCCGGGGCGGGGGGCCTGCACGCGCTGCTGGCCGCGGGGGCGGGGGCGGGCGTGGCCGCGGGCTTCAACGCCCCCCTCTCCGGCGTGCTCTTCGCGCTGGAGAGCGTGCTGCAGCCAGGCCAGGGCGAGCAGAAAGCGCGCCCGGCGCCCAGCCTGACCCTGGCCATGGTGCTGCTGGCAGCCGCGCTGGCGGCAGCCGTGTCTCAGGCGGGGCTGGGCTCCTCCCCGGCCTTCCGAGTGCCGGCCTACCGGTGAGTGGGTGGGGGGTGTGGAAGGCCGTGGTTGTAATGCCGCGTGCAAGGCTGAGCAGCTGCCTCTGCGCTGCGCGCTGCACAGCCCCACCTTGTTCTCAAGCAAATGCAGTGCAGGTCTGCAGCGTCTGCTGCCTTGCAGAACTGCATTTTCCTTCGGTCATTGTCTCCAGGCCTAGTCGCTGACCCAACGATCCACGCCCATTCCCTCCGTGCTTCCCCCTCCCCAGACTGGAGTCGTACGCCGAGCTGCCCCTCTTCCTCGCGCTGGGCACGCTGTGCGGCCTGGTGGCCACCTCCTTCACGTACTCCGTCGGCGTGGCAGAGGACGCTTTCAAGGACCTGACGCCGGGGGGGCAGGGGGAGGGCGACCCCAGCGGCGACGCAGACGGCGGCCGCCAATCCATCGGGGCCTGCGCCTGGCGTGCCCTCATGCCGGCGGTCGGCGGCCTCACGACGGGGGTGCTGAGCTTGGGCCACCCCGAGATCCTGTACCACGGCTTCGACAACGTGAACGCCATCCTCTCCGTCTCCAGCCGCCTGTCGGCCTGGGACCTGTCGGAGCTGGTGGTGCTCAAGATCATCGCCACCTCCATGAGCCGCGGCAGTGGTCTGCAGGTACCGCTGGGGTGTGGGTGGGGAGGGGGCTCGGCCATGCTGTGTTCGGCCGCGCTGAGCTTCGTAGGGTTACTTGTTTAATGGCGACAGCTGAATAGGAAGTGTCTGACAGCAGTGTTGTGGCACATGGGATGGTGTCCTGGGGGCGGCTCACAGCACATCTGTGGATTAAAAGGCAAGGGTCCGCCTGGGACCCGGCCCAGCGCCTCCCCAGAACTCGATCACTCCGCCTCCTCCCGCCATCCAAGTAAATGTCTCCTCCACTCCCTCAAGGGCGGGCTGTACGCGCCCTCCATCTTCATCGGCGCGGCGCTGGGCTCGGCCTACGGCCTGGCGCTGCAGGGCACGCTGGGCACGCTGGGCGTCCCGCTGTCAGCGCCCGAGGCCTACGCGCTGGTGGGCGTGGCGGCGGTGCTGGCCTCCGCCTGCGGCGTCCCGCTCACCGCCGCGCTGCTGGTCTTCGAGCTGACGCGTGATTACCTCATCCTGCTGCCCACGCTGGGCGCGGTGGGGCTCAGCTTCTGGGTGGGCGCGCGCACGGAGCCGGGCGTGCGGCGCGCGGGCCGCGCGCGGACGGAGCGGCGGCGGCGCGAGCGCGGCGCGCGTGGACCCGGCGCGGGGGACCCCGTCGCGGCGCTGTCCGTCGTGGCCGCCGCCGCGGCGGGGGACGCCGCAATGCTGGCCGCGCTGCAGCGCCAGGCGCAGGCGGTGCAGGCGGCGGAGGGAGCGGCCGAGGCGGGGCCGCCGGCGCTGGCCACCCTGGACCTGGAGGCCCTGACCGCCGCCGGCGGCAGCGAGGAGCACGGACCGCCGGGCGCCGTGCCGGACGTGGCCACGGCCGCCGCGCTGTCCAGCCAGGCGCTGACGGTGGCCTGCGCCGCGGACGGCGGCTGCCTGCTGCTCGCGGCGGGTACCCCTGTGCCGGAGGCCGTGGCAGCCATGCGCCGGGGCGGGCACGCCGTGTCGGTGGTGGTGGGGCCCGGCGGCGAGGTGGTGGGCGTGGTGAGTCTGGTCACCCTGGAGCGCCTGCTGCTCGCCGAGGCGGCGACCGCAGGCGGGGAGGAGGCACAGTGAGCGGGCGCTCGTAGCTTGACTCAAGGGCCCTGTGGCTAAAAGTCTGCATCGCCTGCAGGGTATGTGTTTCAACGATGAAATATGTTCCTATGACGCCCTAGTCCTCCCCCACTTTCCACTTGTTTCCCCTCGCATGCTTCTGGTGCCCGGCGCGCCCGTGTCCAAAGCACACGCAGCGTGATGTGCTCCACCGACGGAACAGGGCCGGTGGCACCTAATCTGGGGGCATGCTTGTTGCTAGCATCTTATTTAAGTTAAATACCATTAATCATCGGGACCTTACGAGCTCGTCAGCGTGGCACGCACATTGGTGGCCCCGCACTGTCGTGAACTCGTGGCGCAGCCTGGGGTCGCAGAGCGAGCTGATTTATCCAAAGTATTGCGGCCGATCAAATAATTAAGCGACCTGGTTAACCACCTTCGGCGTGGGGCTGGGAGCTCTGGGTCGACGACTCCGAACACACCACCAAAGGCTTGCCACCATGGGTGTTCGGATACGCCTGGCTCGTTTCGGACGCAAGGTGCAGAGGAATAGTGAGCAGGAGAAAAGTGATGGGAGTGGGGGTTAGCTCCAAGGATGCAACCTGAACCTGCGTGCTCCTCCCAAACCCCGGCCGCTGCAGAACTTGCCCTTCTACCGCATCTTCGTGGCCGACTCGAGGAGCCCCCGGGACGGCAGACACTTGGAAATCGTGGGCCACTACGACCCTCTTCCAGGTAGGGGGCTGGGTGGTGTGATGCCGTGTTTCCTGCAGTGGTGCCAGGGTTGGAGGGTGCTCAGTGCATGGTTCTTTGTTTCCTTTGTTTGCCAGGTCGATGGGTTGCCTCTACCTCTGACTTGCCTTTTAACTCCATTGCTCTGTGCAGGTCAGGACGGGAACAAGCAGCTGGGCCTGCACATTGACCGGATAAAGTATTGGCTGTCGGTGGGCGCTCAGCCATCGTCCACCGTGGGTAGGCTGCTGGGTCAGGCCGGGATCATCCCGAAGCCGCCGGCAGCCCTGCATGCTGGAGTCGTCAAGAAGCCCGAGAAGGAGCGGAACAAGAAGGCCTGATGTGCATGGACTTTTCCGGCGCAGGCTGGAAGGCAGGAGTCGACGACAACCCTTGCACTTGCCGAGCTGTGGTTTGGGCTCGCAACCGTGCCGCCCACCGACGGTGTAGCCCTCATTCGTGGCATGCACAACCCCAGCATTGAGAGTCAGCATGGGTCGTCAGTGCTCTTTGCCATACATGCAGTGCCTTACAGAGGTTCATCTGCATGCTTTTGGCTCAGCACGGTATCATGTGCAGTCCTGGTCCTTGGGAAGCAAAGGATCATTCACAGCACGCAAGGGGTCTACTTTGTAAAAAGGCACCAATTGGGAGGGCAGGTGGTACCAGAAGACATAGCAGAATGTATGCGAGCTTCATCATCTGACGGTCAGATTAGCAAGCCGTTGGAGCTCAAGCAGACGGGCTGGGGTATCGAGCTAGAAAAGTGGTGGCGCCACAAAGGCATGGGATTGATTGAAACACTTGGTATCCAGGGTCAAATTGTTCCTGCTTCATTGCCACAGAGGATGGTCATATGCACTGCACTGAGAAGGTGCTCTCCTCATCACGAAACCTGAATAGTGATCTGCATCCCATCCTGACAGTGGACATCCACCTCACAGGCAAAGTAGTAGGTGCCCGCCGAGTCAAACGTCTTGCTGAAATTTCCTTCGGTCGACAGCGCGTCGCTCAGGACTTGCAGGTCGTCGCAGCGCCCGGCGCCAGGGGCGGATGCCACATTGTGGGGGACGCCGCCATCCCACGACCAGGTCACCTTTAGGGTTGGGGGGAGAGAGGCAAAAACTGACCGATGTGCTAAGGATGGTGAAAATCAGCGCTCCTCAGCAAGATTCCCAGCAACACACTTGCCATCGCACGGTCACGCCCACAACCCCACCAAAACTCACCGAGTCTCCAGATGGGATGTTCAGCGTGGGGTATGTCACCCCCAGCTTCCAGGAGACGGCATGGTCAGCTGGCGAGACATGGGAAGACGGGATATGTCAGATCATGCACCTGTCGTGGCAGGTGCAAAGGCCAGGGAATCGCCTGCAAGCCTTTCAAATCCGATCACACACCGGCGAGGAGGTTCCTTGATGCAACCGATTTTGAGCCCAGGCTGAAGACACAGAGCAGCAATGATGCTGCAAGGAGCCGGCTGCTGGTCATCGCTCCGTACGCCATGGTGCGGGGTCAAGCGAACTGGTATGATCTGGCCAAACGAGGATCGACCTTCGAGAACCGATGGTGCGCTATTTGTGTGTGAAGGCGGTCCGCTTTTGTGATATAATGAGGGGCAAACTCGCCTTCATATTTTCAAAATCCCACGGTGATGGCCGTGCCTCACCTGGTGGATCTGCTTCCAACGATTCGTGGTTCTGCTCCGACCATTACAAATCCTCAGCACCATCCTCCGCCTTCACTATGGGAAACCTCAACGAATTTTTTCACAGTGCGCCCTTGCGTTCCCACTTCCTTGTGTAAATCTTGGCGTAGAACTACACTTGCGCCATCTGGATCACAAACACTTCCATGGGCGCCAGGTACAGCTTAGAACCTGTTTCATGACCGATAGTGACCCAGGGGGCACTGCCGCTGCGCGATCAGTCCAGACTCAAGCCACTGTGATGGTGATGTGCTGACCCTCATCGCAGTGGTCGCCAACCGAGCACGCAAAGAAGTAGGTTCCTGCCGTGTCAAAGGTCTGGCTGTACGTCCCCTCCTCTACAGGATCCCCGCTGATGGGCGTCAGGTCAGTGCAGCTGTCTGCTGCAGTCGCGGTGGAGACGTCATGGGGGGATCCCATGGACCAGGTCCAGGTTACCTGTGCGAGAATAGGGATGAGGGTCAGATTACATGGAATGGAGAATGAGCGATGCAAGGAGGCCGCCGCTGATTGCTACCAGCCATGCCATCCTGATGTGCGAGCTCTGCTTCATGGCAGAGTGCTTGCCGCAAACTCACGGTGTCGCCCACTGCAATTTCCAGTGGTGCATAGGGAGTCCCCTCCATCCAGGTGATGCTTAGCTCCTCTGTGAGAGGCAAGGGTGAAAGAGGTTCATACTCTGAAAGGCATGGAAGGAATGCGTCGCAGCTCTCGACAACGTACGCAAGCCTCGCATTGGTGCCTGTCTGCAATGCAAGGTCGAATTGAGTTTATATCTAGCCCAACATAAAAGGAGGGCAGATTTGGTCTGTGGCACAGCCTTGTGAGCATGACTGCTGCATGAAGGGAGGCAATGCTGGGGCTGACGAGTCCCACCCACGATAAAACCCTTGCGCGTGGCGCACCCGCGAGTAGCTTCCTGTTGGAGGGGAGGCCCTGGACGAGGACGAGCCCGACCAGCGAGATGATCAGCAGGCATGATGTTGACTTCATCCTGCGCAAGAAAAACATGGTGGTAGCCATGAGGGTGTACAAGGTCGGTCGGGCAAAATTGGTCGGTTGGGCAAAATCGGTCGGTCGGGTCCTTGCGGCCACTCATGGCTCACTAAAAATCTTCATGGGAACAAGGTCAACACCCTACTCCTATATCATGTATGTAACGCAAATATCCTACATGGATAGCACATACGACTGGGCATGTAGCATGAAAAGGGATCATGGGTCATCATCCCTTTCACAATTGTTGGTGTTCATGGGACGCCCACAAAAGCATCGTACCTTGTTGTTGAGGCTGTTTTGTCGCAGATGCTCACGAGGGTCACCGTTTTTCTTCAGGCAGAAGTTTTGTGTTGCCTGCCTTGTAACGAGGATGCTCTCAACGCAGGCTTTGCCGACGTGTGCGCTACGCGCGCGTACCCCTTCCGATGGTGCAGTACAACGCTCGGTACTGCGGATGATCACGAGCTGCCAATGCGGTCTGCCGGATCATCAGGACTCGGCGGTGGTCTGCTGACTGGAAATTGTTGTTGCGATTCCTGCAGATGGACGAACGCCATGCGCAATTGCCTTCTATTCACCTGACGAAGGTGGAAATATCCTAGGCAGGTTCCATACCCACCCTTTCTTTTGCCCCACAAATCGTCTCCGGCCGTCCAGGACAGTCCCATCCAACGTTTGCGTACAGGATAATCTTCGACTTTACTCGGGACTTTCACGGTCCCTCAAGAATGTGTATGGCAGGCCCACACACTGCCTCGCGGCCGTCTCCCCACCCTCCATCAACGTGGCCGGGATCCGGATCCGTAAACCGGGCTCATTTTTCTCAACGAATCTATCAGACTAACACTCAAAACCTGTGTGTACTAGGCTAACAATACATATTAAGGGTTCATGCTCAGCAAATGCATAAACGCGGATGTGCGAAGCGCGGTGCACAGTGCCAGCGACGTCCGACCCTGCAATACAGTACATTCCCCTCTGTCCCGCCTCCTCCACCCACCATCTAGACCCTGCCGCCGCTGCAATACAATCTGAGAAAGAAGGCTTGATCTCCAACATATTCAATCGTCTTCCCGAAGCCAATCCAGTCTGCAAGAGACTTACATCTGTTTCTGTCCACCACTCTCACCCGCTTGCACTGGTCTTGCGTCATCTCATGACGAAGTGTAGGCTTCACCTTCTCTAGCCCCTTTCAGCTCGTCTATATCGATTTCACCCCGGGCTTATTGGGTTTTGCCCTCGCATAAAAGCTATACGAACGTTGTACTGCCAGCATTGCTGTTCATGTGGTGCGATTCAGAGACACGGCCTAAAAGTTCCTGCCTACAATTTCAAGCTGATATCAAGCAGCAAGCCTTCTGTAGATAAAAGATTACATATCCCCAGTAAAGGCCTGCTCGTCGTTGCCAAGTAAATGCATGTTGTGGAAGGGGAAACCAAACACTGCATTTGCAATCTGAAATGCAGGGGGAACCTAGATCTCAAGGTAGAACTAGAGTTGCTTGAAATGGGTTAGCTAAAGGAGAACGCCGAGATTCATCATCTGATACCGTGTGGATGAGGGTGTGGAGCCCAAACTAGGTCGCCAGGTCTCTCAGGTGGGAGAGTGTTGCTTGAGAGGGTGAGGCGCTGAAATCATCGTCAGATGTGAGTCTCACAGGAGGAGGAGACCGGATCCTAAAACCTGTTCCATGCTTCCCTCATCCGACTGACCCACAGTTACAGTGTCATCCGCTGCACGGCCTTGATATGCCTGGCAGGCACAGTGATTACTGAGAGGATAACGTGCCCTCCTCAACGGCATCATTATGCACGTGCAGAGTTCCATTACTTATCAATGTGCAAGGTGCTTCCATGCCAATATGGCTTTTGGTTCTGATGTCTCGGGTTCATGGTGATGCAAAGGAGGTGCAGGCGTCCATCTCCCCCAGTCACTGCTCCCCGCCCCGGATGACGAAACAGTACCTCGTGAGAAATGCCCAGGGATCCATCCCCCTTGAGCTGCCCGGTTGGAGCTCGTAATCCACAATCTTCCCCAGAGCAGCTTCAGAGAGTAGCTCCAGGTTTTGCATCAAGCATACCATGTGCTGGACCAATTCTTAGGGGTGGGTGGGGCGCGCCATCACCCCCCCGAGCGGCCCCCCGGCCTGCGACACCATGGACGCGAGCGAGGCCTGGAGCGGCCAGTCCGATGCGAGCGAGACCAAGTGCGTATTGCGGGGACCGTGTGCCTGGGAGGATGTTCATGCCCGAAGCAATCCCAGTCCGTCCACCCTTGGGTCTGCCTCGTCCCTAGCGCGCGAGTGCTGACCGAGCGCCTGATTCCAGCAGATTGACTGCTGTCTCGCGACCAACAGCAACTCAATATGATGCATCGTGCTTACTCCAAGCCTGGCAATTGGTGGCGCGGCCCGCCTCACTGTCTCACCCACCTTATCACCCCAGGCTTTGGGCGGGGTTAGAGCCCAACCTCGCCGGCAGCACCTGGACTTCGGCCCCCTCCCACCCCAGGTGCATGCTGCTGGCCGGAAGAGGTCGTAGTGTTATTGATGGCGAGAAGGGAAGCATGTGTGGAGGGACTCAACACTGCATGACCGCCCCACCGGCGGCAGCCAGACCTCAGCGCATTTGTGTCCCCTGGCTCCCCCCTTTCCAGACACCGCAAGCCCCCGCCGGGTCGGGCAGGACGGCGCAGCCCTCGCGACACGCAAGCGCCTTTGCGTGACAGGGAGGACCAGCGCATGCGTGAGCTGCTGGACTCCATTCTGTACTCCCTCCTGCCGGCCGCCTTCGAGAGGCTCGGGGCCTCCGCTCCAACCGGCGAGCTCTCTGCAGACGATTGCCGGGTGAGCTGGACGCCGCTTGTGTGATTGGTTTGAGGAGGGTGTGTTTGAGAGTGGACTTCTGTCTTATGGTGGCTGCCTGTGTTCTGGGCTCCGAAGGTCATGTGCCATACCCGAGCATGGCATGCATGATGCACCGGTAACAGTAGACCGGCATGCCCTGAGGCATCCCTCCCCCCACCCCTGCCATGCACATGTGAATATGGTGCTTCCCTGCCCCACCTCCGGGTCCACGAGCCAAGCATCCAACCTGGCGCCACGAGACAGTTCCCCCTCCCCCCCCTGACGCTCAGGCCGTGGCGTGCGCCGCGCTGGTAGCGGCGGCCCTGGTCGCTGCGCCGGCTGGCTTCCTGGAGTTCCTGCTCTGCGTGCCGTGGCTGCAGCTGGGGGCCCAGCTGGCCGCGAGTGGCGGCGCCCCGCCCCCAGAACTGGTTCCCTGGGGCGATGCCCCCCCGCTCCTCCGCCCCTCCCTGGCCGAGGCCTCGCTCCTGGTCAACGTCAGGCTGGACGCACGGCTGCTGGACTGCACGCTGGACTTCCTGGGACGCGGACTCGCGCTGCACGCACTGCCGCCCCTCCTCGCCGCCGCGCTGGGTGCAGGCGGCGAAGTGGGGGTGGCCGACGACCGCGCCGCGGGAGGAGCCGCCGCCGCCGCCGGCGATAGCGCCCTTGCTGCGGCCCCCGCCGCCGCCGCCGGCCCGCCCACGGGGCGCCAGCTGGCGGCCGCAGCGCTGGACGGCGCGACCCCACTCCACGCCGCGGCGATGCGCGCGGCGGTGCCCGCGCTGTCGCACCTGCTGCTGTGCGGCGCGGACCCCATGGCCCCCGCCGGCACTGGCGAGCTGCCCGCGCAGGTGGTGCCCAGCTGCCGCAGCGGCGGCTGCGGCTGCGGCGGCGCCGGCGGCGCCGCGTGCCGCGCGCAGGCCGCGCGCCGCACGCTGCTGCGCCGCGGTATGCTGAGCTGGGGCTCCGGCCCTGCAGCCTGGCTGCACAACCTGCTCCACCTCCTGCTGTGCCTGCTGGGGCGCT